CTGCTATGATACACCTTTTCTCAACATCTATATAAAACTTGATTTTTTGTAACTATGTGATATATGAAGCATCTATGTAAAACTTGACTTTTGGTTATATCCTCTTAAAAATTGCAAAAACATGCTTTTCTCAAGTTGGATAATGAGATCAATGATCAAAGATTTCAAAGTGGTTTTATTTTATTTTGTAGAATATGATATAGATTGATTGCTCACTTTGAGAGATTTGCAAGGATTATGTAAGAGTGGATTCATATTAATAGAGACTCTTGCTTTTAGTTTATGATGAATAAAAGTTAATTGAATTATGTGCATGGGTCTAGAGGAAATAAATAAAAGTTATATTTACCAATTACAATAAAGAAATATAAATGGTTTGATTGTTATGCATATATATATATATATATATATATAATTCTTGGTCAACATTTCTTTATGAATGGTCAATTTTTTACTTAGCAACTGCAAATTAAACTTTTACACCTTTTTCGTGGCCAATGGCATGGATTTCCATATATGTAAACATAAAAATACATACTGTATATATATAGTATTTACCAATTATATCAATACTTATTCCAGTGTTTAAAAAGGACTAATGAACCACCATATTTTCCGTGCAGATTACTAACAAAACATTGGCATGTCTACTTTGTCACACCATCAACTTGGTGCCTGTGGTTGAAACACAAGGCTCAACAGGAAATGAGTTCCAATCACAAAGTCAAATGCGAAGGGCTTTGTGGTGGGTGGTGTATCTTGAAGTGAGCAATGCATTGTTATATTTGTAGTGTCTGACTGGAGGGAGGGCAAAGGGGGGCATGGCATCTGCAAAAGAGCATGGCTCTGCAAGTTCTGTGTCTCTGTGTCTGTCTGACTGACTGCCTCTTCAATATGGTCAGGTTATGTAGTGTGGCAGCAATGTGGGTTGTGGGCACTAAAATAAGAAGAAGGAAAATAGAAATAGAAGAAGAAGAAGGAGAAGAAGAGTGGGAGTCAAATTTTTCTCACATGGGCACTCATCTTACAAACAGGGCCTGGTGTGAGTGGCAGTGGCATCTGTCTGTTTGGTGGCAGATATGTATGTGTGTGTGTGTATGTGTGACTGTGTGTGTCTATAGACCTTGACTTATAACAAGGAATTGAATTCATTAAATGAATGCAGGCATTATTTGCACTGCAGGTTGATTGTGTAGAGACAGTTTTGGAAGTGGGTGAGGCTGGTGCATGGAGGACCTTGACTTTTGGCCTCACCACTAGCTTCAGAAGGCACTTCTCAAGAGTCTTTTCTAATATATATATATATATATATGTAATGTTGACACAAGAAGTTTATTGGATCTATTTTTTTGTTTTGTTTTGTTCTTTATAACAGACAGATGCTTTGCTGCAAAGACACAGTAGCTGGCACACATCCATGCTACAGGGGTAGCACTCCTTGCTCTGGAGTCTTGTAAGTATATCAAGTGTCAAATCATGAATTTAGAGCTAAAAATAAACAGGCAAATTTTGCCTTACAGAAGGAAATGTCATGTCAGGGTGTGGGTCTTGGTATTGGGGCTCAATCATGCTTGAAGTCACCAACAAAGCATTGTCAAACAATTAATAAGTTGTTAATCGCTATTAAACAGGTACATTCAAGTTTGTGTTGAAAGGAGACTGGAGTTTGGGTGAGTTAGGTTGATGTTGTTCTCCAGGTCTCTTTAGATTTATTTTTATTTTTACAATAAAAACAGTGAAGCATTTTCTAGACTATTGTTGTTACTGAGATAGACGTAGAGAATGAGAAAGTTTAGAGTGAATGCAAGGTAATTATGGAATTGTGAAAGTAGGGGTGATTTTGAAGAAAAAAGTGCAAGCAATAGTATGTGGTATTTGTAGAAGGATTCACAACTTTATTGTGGCATCATATACTAGAATCACATGTAAAAGGATTCAGCTCACAGGCAGTGAGGCACAGGGAGGCAGAAACATTGGAAGTTGACAAAAGATTGGTTTTGTTGTATTGACAGGTTTTTTGAATACCAAATAGAAAAAACACTGGTTTTCAAGAACAAATAAAGATTCAAACAACTAATGAGTTCAGTTTTTTTCTACCAAAATTTTAGATTCGAAATCTATGTAAATCAATACTGATAAATGTGATTACCAGATTGTATGTACATTCAAACAAATCATACAATGATTTTTTCTATAAAAAAGTTCATAGTAGTTATTTTGTGTGTGATTTCAATATCATGGTTCAAAAAACACATATTTTTAGTGCTGACGTTGTTGTTTGTTTATTATTGTGGTGAATTTATAAATTTTTTGTACTTTATAGAAAGACATTAAGAGAAATAAAATAAATAAATAAATAAAAGCTCAAATAATCTATAATTTGTAATTTTCAAAAAAAATTACTAAAAAATTTGTGATATGTTCAACCATTTTTAAATAAGTCACCACTTCTTTCTTCTTCTTCTTCTTTGTAGAATTTAGCATTCATTCGAGAATTGATTTTATGTATTGATTTTGGATTTTTTATATACTTTTTTTTTCTTTTTCATAGAAGTAATGAATTAATGAATAGTCTTTTATCACTAATATTTTTCATTTTGTAGTAATATCATTGACAACCTTTCAATACTCTGTTAAATTCAAAAACAGCTCTATCTTAGTGTTTTTAAAGTAGAAATTGTTTTGAAAAAAGTTCTTAATTACTTTACATCTTCTCCCTTATTTTAAGACATATCCTTTACAGAAACATTAATCTCACTTAACCAAAAATTAAATTTTTCTTTTTTCTTTTTCTTTTAAATATAAAATTATAATTTTTCAATAAAACCTTGATTACTTGAATAGATTATAAAAAGTTCTTAGACTCTTTGTAGAATTTTTTTATTCAAATAGTCATCCATACAATTTTAATTACCTCAAGTAAAATTCAAATACACATATGCTAATAGGTTCTTTCAACATTTGGAAGTCCATAACCTTTGATTATGTTATATATGAATATTTTTAAAATTTGAAATAATGTTAGGATTGAATAGATATAATATTTTAGGACTTGATTTATTTGATTTAATTTAGTTACGTTATAAAAATCATTTTTTAGCATTTTTACAATTGAAAAAGTAAAAATAAGATGATTTTACTACAAACTTTACCAACTATGTCTAGAGGTTATTAAGTAGAAACAAGTTTGTGAATGGAAATTTAAATTTTGTTACATTAAATTTTATGTGTTTAATATATATATATATATATATATATAACTTTTAAAAATATATTTAGGTTTATTTTATTAATAATATATTTCATCAAAATATTATTTTTTAAATATAAATATATATATATATATATATATATATATATAAAAGTTGAAGTTGATTATAAATTAGGTATGATTTGTGTGCAAGAAAAAAACAAAATTGGTCTAAGAGGTTTATTTTTACTAAAGCTTGATTCCATTTAAAGTTACAAAATTTAAGACTTTTCAAACATGAATAATTGGTCATATACAATTTTTATAAATTAACATTATTGCAATCTTAAGAAAAATTGAGTTTAGAAAAAATCAAACAAAAGAATCCAAAAGAATCATCAATCACAAAGCTATGTATTCTGATTATATATTGTGATGATAATATGAACAAGTATCATACCATGTACAAAACATTTTGAAAGATTGTTGACAATTCATTATGATGCCTAAAAAACCAAAGATAGAATTATGAAATGGGATATAATTCTATCTTACACCATTTATCTTAGATTAGAAAAAATATATACTATAACCACCAAAAACTTAATCCATTGCAAATATTACATCACTAATTAGGAGGTTTCAAACATGGCCTTTTGGGATGATATTTCACTTGTGATATTTGCTCAAAGTATTTTGTGATATTTCAAAATATCACTTGATCTTTTACCAAATCACCCACTTCATGAGGTGTGTGATTTTGAAATTGAAATAACAAGAGGGGTGGGTTAAATATCAAAAAATGTGTCGCTTCTTCAGCTCTCTTCCCTCTTTGATATATCACAAAATATCAAGGGGTATTAAAGTTTGAACGGTGATATTTTAGAGTTGATATTTCAAGTGATCTTGGGGGCTGAATCCCAATTATTTGGTTTAGCAAAAGTGTCATGTTTGAAACCCCTATTGTAAACCCTAACCACATTCCAATCAAGTTGTCAACAAACTAACCAAAAAAAATTCCACCCAGGAGCAACTTCCTAGAAAATTGCAACCATTGACCAGATTTAGTTATTGAACCACATTGCTTTTTAATTCTCTTGCACTTCAACTCTCAACATGAAAATCAAACACCCATAATCAAACACATGAATCTCCCACACTGAAAACACATGGATAATCAAAGAGGAAACGTCTGACCACACAACAAATCCATTACAATAATCAGCGGTCTTCAACTCTCACACACGCCAAGCATCTACTTGGGCATTAATCACAAGAGTGCGGGGGGGGGGGGGGGGTTTGTTCCAAGCTCTCCATCTCTGCGCAGAAGGAGCAGGGCCACAGTCCAGACACAGTGCTAGTTGCAGGGAAAAACATGCTCCAATTCATGCAACACATGGGAGGAAAAATAAATGCGGAAGAAATAGCAGCAGGGGAGGGAAGGGAAGAGGGAAAACACAATGAACCTGGAAAGGCAAGGCAAGGAAAGGAAAGTGGGGTGGGGTTGGGGGACTGGTGAGCTCGCAATGGAGGATGCATAAATCACAGTTTGGTAGGGGAGCCTGAAAGTGTGGCAATTGCTGGACGTCTCGCTGTTCCCTGTACCGAGCATTCAGTACTCCCTGACACCGCCAGTGATGGTCTTTACGCAGCTGGTCGTATCATCCATTCTTCCAAACACATCACTGTCCACCACACCGAGGTTGATGAGAGCTTCTTTCCCCCACTTTGGGATTATTCTTATGCTTCGAAGCTGGAATGTTGTTACCTTGATACATTGGGTGGGTGCTGCTACTGCTGCTTAGTTGAGTCTATCTCAAGCAAGTCGAGGAGCTTCACAGGGAAGCAAGTTGGAGAGATTCACAGGCGAGCACGTAAGATTTACTCAGAAGATTGGATGTGGCCTTGTGAGCTTCTAGAACTGCTGATGGGGAAGCATGTGCACGCTTGAGGGCGAACACTAGCACACGTGAGGCAGTGTATATCTGCGGTGGTTTGATCTGTGGGTTTTTGGTGTTGAGGTTGGTGGGTTAATCATGGTTACGCAGCAATTGATCCGGATTCTTGTAGCTGGGTTTACAGTATCGTAGATGGGAGGCAAGGAGTGGTCGGTTGTGGTCGTTGTTCCATGAATCGGGTGCTGTGTTTTCCGGAGGCGCGGAAACCTGGTCTGGTAGCGCGTGAGAGCAAGGACGAATGCACCGGCGATGGTGTTCATAACGTGAGTGATACACAACGCTTCCATACGAATGAGACGCTGCAAAGACGCTCCGTAAGTAGGAAGCTTCTTTTCCTCCCGGGACGCCAGCACGGCTGCTGAGGTCCTATCGAAACGGCACCAGCATTGCTGCCGGACGGCGACGGACTGTTGACGGACTGCTACTGATGGGATACGCCCTAAGGCAAAGTGGAAGAAAAATATGGGTGGTACACCTGGATCCGTGAGAAGGAACTCCACTGGTGATTTCGGCTTGTACTCGTGCCCCATTTCATCTCATTCGATCCGGTCAGAGTAGGAGAGAGCCCTTTGCAGGCTTCAAAGAGAGCTAGCTACTATTAAAGAAATAGCCTACGTAACTGGGAACGATCAGTACCTAACTCAGTATTAGGCGCTGACGATCCAGCTAGGTCGCGGCATCGGACAAGCAAGCGAATTACGTCGTCGACCAGACACTCGATCCCAGTCTAGTGCATCAAGCAATAAATTTGGTCATTTTGCGTAGAATTATTCTTAAGTCAATATTTTGTCCGCTTTCCTCTTCTCTACAGTACTCTCGATGCTCTGCAGTCTACTCTATCCTTCGAGGTTGACCGCCATGGCTTGACGCTTGCCGCTCACCACAGCGTCATCGCTTGTTGGGGTGCACCGCTGCAGTGACCTTTTGATGTGTCCCAGAGTCGGTTCGCTAGACGATGGAGATTGTAGCGACTTCCCCCGAATCACAACCATTGTAAGTTCAAATAGCCTCGAGCATTGTCGCTAGGATGCTAGGTGGTACCGGAGTGGAAGTAACGATGGTGGAGTTTCACATGGATTGTAGACGACAAGGCTGGTAACGTCACAATGTAGGAACTCGTTGAAGCTGGAGTGGGACTAAACATGTCAAAGCAGAAGCTGCCCAAGCTGTGGGCAGGCTTCGCACTCCTGAGCATTATTCTTGTGTGCTACCCAATCCTCGCCCTTTCAGGAGTACATTCCTCGTCTCCAGATTCCAAGGGTGTCCCATCTCGACGCAAGCTAGCCAGAATCCACAGGCATCTACACAGAATTAATAAACAAGCCGTAACAACTATTCAGGTCAGTCTCTTCATGTGCTACAATCTATTCAGGTCAGCATTCAGGTCAGTATTCAGGATCTAATGTGAAATCTCCTTACACTTATGAATCAGTATTCTTGTAGATTGTGGAGTTTATGCGTCATGAACCGTGCTCTACCTCCAACAGGCTCTTGATTCTCTCCAGCTATTCGGCACCTAGAGTTCGTTGTTTTCTTCTGTAATTAGCCGCCCACAGGGTTTTGCCATTAGACTCAGAACTCTCAGGATGGACCACAGCTACGTGTGGTATTTGGGCACGATGAATCTCTTAGCTAGGATTTTGGTATCGCACCGAACTTAATTGCTATGACTAGGGAATTACATCAACACATTCGTGGTTAATTCAACCATTCTGAGATTACTTATCTATCGTGGAATGCAGAGTGTGGATGGCGATGTCATCGACTGCGTCGATATTAGCCGGCAACCTGCCTTCGACCACCCTGCATTGGCCAACCACACTGTCGAAGTATGTAAACATTTGCTTTTCTGTTGTCATACAACTGTCATTAAAATCAGTAAAAATAAAAAATCCGAACTTACGCCGCTGCCAATGTGAGTTTAGATCGACTAGCTCATAGTGCAATACCATTCTGGCCACGCAGAATCCACCAGAAATGCTCCCCTTCACCGCAGAGGGATCAAAAACGGCATTTGCATACAGTGCTCCAAGATTCCGACCTCAGCTATGGCATCAAAGTGGGCTGTGCCCTGAAGGCACGGTCGCCATTCGACGCACACTGATGAAAGATGTGTTGCGATCAGGCAGCTTCGCAAGTTACAGAAAGAAAAGAAACGGCCTGGCTTCGGTGCCGCAACCGAAGAAACCCCATTCCATGTCTGAAAACGGCCACGAGGTGAGCTAATCACTCACTCTACCCCCGATAAAAGTCCATATTCAACAAGTGTCATTTTGTTTATCACGTCAATGAACTGGTGATACTATTTAAGGTTACAGCAGATTGGACTAAAACAATGTTTCTGGAAACTATTGGCAGCATGCAATTGGGTACATGCAGGGTGATACTTACTATGGAGCACAGGCAACCATAAATGTTTGGAGTCCCAGTGTCCAAGTGCCCAGTGAGTTCAGCCTCTCTCAAATGTGGCTTCTCGCTGGCTCCTTCACCGGGGACCTCAATAGCATTGAGGCTGGCTGGCAAGTAAGCCCTTCTCTTCACTAAGCAAACGATGCTTATTAGGTCCTCGCACTCTTGTTCTTTCAAGTTTACAGGATATTGTTCACTGTGGACTAAAGCCAGATGATACATTCCTGTAGGTGAGCCCTCAATTGTATGGAGACTACAGCCCAAGGCTTTTCACATATTGGACGGTACTACTTCCAAATACATTGCCTCCGTCACGCAGGATTTCCGAAATTTGTGAAATGAGTTTATATTGTTATGCGATATGTAGTGGTATCAAATGGTGGTTATGACATGAGGTGTTGGCCTGGTGATGTCCAGACAGATGCTTACCAGGCAACAGGATGCTACAACCTTTTGTGCTCTGGGTTTGTCCAAACGAGTAATGAGATTGCTATAGGAGCGGCTGTCACTCCCGTTTCCAGTATTGATAGTTCGCAATATGATATTCGCATCCTTATCTGGAAGGTGAGTGTGCATCCGTCTAGTTATAAATTCTGGGATTCATTAATAAGTTCTGCCCTGGACGAAAGGTGAGCGTGTTACACTGAACTTTGAATAGACAGCATGATACGCCCACTTTCCTAGCATGTGATGAGAGTTTTTCACAGGAAGCTTCATTTTTGTAGACAAAACTTCTCTGATCTCTGCGGCAATCATAGTAATTCATCGGGTGCTCGCCAAGTGCGCAACAGGGTTTTTCGTTTACTCTGGAATTAGAGCCATATTTTAAGTAAAGTCTTTCCCTTCTATCCTGAAATGGCTGAACCCATGTATTAAACTCGGGCTGTCGTGGACTCATCGTGATGAGATTTTTGCATTCTCAGGACCCAATCAAAGGCAATTGGTGGATGCAGTTCGGAGAAAGTTACCTTGTAGGCTACTGGCCTGCAGCGATATTCACACATCTAGCAAGTAGTGCGACAATGTTAGAGTGGGGAGGGGAGGTGGTAAACACACAACCTTATGGCCACCATTCGGCCACCAGCATGGGAAGTGGCCAGTTTGCAGAGAAGGGCTTCGCACAGGCTAGCTACGTGCGGAACATCAAGTATGTGGATGCAAACAATGTGCTCAAAACTCCTGTGGGAATGCAAACGCTAGCTGAGCACCCAAATTGTTACGACATTCAAAGTTCTGTCAACCCGGAATGGGGTGCCTACTTTTATTACGGAGGACCAGGTCAAAACTCCAATTGCCCCTAGGGTGCAGGGACTAACTATAGTGGTAGAAGAAATTTTCTGTGCTGGAGACTCTGCATTGTGGAAGAAAATGTTCAGATAACTGTCCAACATCGAGCAGTAGAGTATAATAAACCAGGCTGCAGGACAAACAAAGCCAGTCAGGCAAGGTGCATTTGTGATCCGATGGCGTCACACAATTATGTTGACGCAATGGATCATACATTCACCCTGCAACACCATAGGCTAATGCAGAAAAAACTGCAACTGTTTCACAAGTGTAGATAGTGTCTACTAGAAGAATTTGACAACTCTACAAATACTATTACTCCTAACATATTTATCTGAACAAGAAATTACCAACTTCATAGCTAAAAATACATGTTTTTTTTTTTTGAAAGGGAGTGACATGTGCCTGTTATTATTGTGATTCTCATTTCACATTCTATCCACAATCACTGTCCCTCCCTGCAGTTTAATCCTACTTACACCTGGTTGACTATAGTCACAACTCATCGCCTTCAAAAAAAAAACGGCGGATGTGGATCAAGTCTGAAGGAGTCACAAATATACTTTACAACACCTAGAACAATATTTGCTATCGGCACAGATGTGTGCAGGCATTATGACTTGTTGGGATTGACAACTATCAAATCCAAGCTAAGGAGCCACGATCGTGTGCAGGCTGAGGACGTCCTCTCGTAGGTGTAGGAGGTCTGTGCTCATTTAGTTCCTGTATGATGAATCAAAAATACTTATCAATACACGATTCTATTGTTACTTTCATTACTAGAGCTATTACTTTAAAGATTTAGCCCGTGTACGCTTTGAACTTCACTTACATTGTCAACGTAAAATAAATGTACTAAAAGAACAGAAATTATTCGTTTAACCGTAATCGACACGAGACCTTTAACTAGTGCTTGTGTGTGTAAACACACACATACATACGTAGAAAGAAGCTGCACTGTACCTGCATCCAAATGTCGTCAAGATGGTGTTCAGGAGAGTGCTCAGGCGAGGTGATCGCAGGTGGGAGTGGATGGATAAGCTTGGGAACTACGACTAAATCCCTCCCGAGAACCAAAATTGCTCCTGCATTATTCGCCGTTCCTGTACGATCAAAACTCTTTTATCAGATGTTATCATAACGAAAATTTAAACATCCATTATTAAACGACCGAGTGCAAATACAAATGAATAGTAGAAATATTGGAACTCGGATACAGAATCGTATTCAGAGGTTGGGACACGTACCGCAATAATTTGTAGCAGAAAATAAGGTGATCAAGTGACCTTGGGCAAATCGTTCAAAGCCATCCATTACACATTCATGAGCTCTCACAATGAGCTGGAGATCATTATTCTTACAGAACTCCATAACACGATCCGGCTGCAAATTACAATCCAAAGACACTGTTGAGAAGAGCTCATCATTTCAAGCAAGAATGGGTACGTAGCCAACTGCTTTCCTTACTTTAAAAGCTATCGTGCTTCAAACTTCAATTGTATGTGCTAAAAACTCACCCCAAAGGTTACCAAGCCTGGACCTCGTGCATTTGGACGCAGACCCTCAACACTATCATTTTCAGTTGGATCAGACCTGACACACATCTTGTTAAGTCAGTCACAAAGACAACAAAAAGTGAAAACACCTGGAAACACCAAGAATAAGATGCCAGCTAGACAACGAGATTCTGAATGAGATACTGGCAGAAGTTGCAGTGACCAGATTTTTACTATACCACAAAAGGTCCATGAGCACAACAGAACCAGCCTCCATAGTGATAGGACGTTGCAGATCTTCAATCTGGCGCACATAATTAATAGACCGTCCAATACCACCATGCATACAGATGATCTTCTTCTCAATCAAAGCTGCAAGTGGCAACCAATTAAAGAGCTGATTGATCCGTTGCCATGCCCAAATGCCATCACGCTCCCCCTGGAATAAAACCCAAACGTCAACACCAAAGCTGAAAGTGAAATTGATTGGCAGGAAGGAATCTTGTGAATTTAAGTGTTCCAGACATCGTCTCATGATTTAGCTGTATAAAATACAAATAGAGAGTGACGCAGCATACCATGCGCTCTATGCATTCAATACGAAAACCGAACAGGGCATTTATATCAGCAGCTTCATGATTGCCTCGAATGAGATGAACATTTGTTGGATACTCAATCTGCCTCAAATGAGATGATTACATGGATATTAGGAGCATGAGATGAATCGAATCCTTTCCACAACCGCTACATCAGATGGAAAATTTAGAGAATCTAGATAAATAGTTTTGAATATCCAGTAGAAGTATACTAATATTTACTTCCCATTAATCTAGAGCACAGGGAAGGAAAACAAATATTGTAACAGTTGAAGGCTCACCTTCAGGGCGAGTAGAAGAGTGATTGTTTCTAAGCTGTGCTGCCCTCTATCGACGTAGTCTCCCAAGAAAAGGTAATCAATATAACTGCAAAACCACCATTCATATGATGAAAAATGTAGAAAGTGAAAAACCAGCATTACTTGTTCTTCACTATTTCATCAAAAATTAACTTTTCACCATAATTCGAATTGAGATTCTGCGGAACAGTCAAACAGATGTCAAAAAGTATGTGCTAAGGAAACACATACGTAATATCTCCTGCTGTGGACGGGGAACCGTATTCGTCAAACAAGCGCATGAGATCTCCGAATTGACCATGTAGATCACCAAAGATTTTTACGGGGGCTCTTATTTGTAGCACACTCGGTTCTTGGGCAAAAAGTCTTTCTGCTGTATTACAAAGATCAGCTATTTCATCACAATCCAAGAAAAAATGTCGTTTCGTGGGTGGTTTCCAGCCTCGCGGTTTGAGCAAGTACGACAGTACCTGCACACAGCACTACTGTTCAGCATTGCACACCAGAAAGAAGTACAAGCTCAAGCTTCAGAACTGAGAACACATGGGTGCAGACTACAAGACTTATAAAATGTAAGCTAGGCACACGTGTCATGAACTTTTAACCACACCTTGAAACTCTGAAACCTAGTTGAAAACACTAACAAAAGAACAAAACCAAAGATGAAACTGCTCAGGTAGCAGGAGCAAACCAGTGAACAAAACAAAAACAAAAAAAACTAATCGATCGATTCAAAATGAATGCAGATGTGCCTAATCCATTCCTTACACGTAATCTGGTGATCTAGGGAAGGTGCGAAAACACTTGAAGTACCTTTTTCTGCACACCACTTATAGACATTTGACGATCTAATAATTGTCTTGCATAAGAGACATTATCAGGAGTTCCATAGCTGACTCGCCGTCCCTCATTCTCAAACTGATCAATTGAAAGTTGCCTAACTAGTCCACCTAGAGCACCTCCCGACTCCGCTGCTACGACAACCTGCGTTCAACAACATACTAGATGGTTAACACGCATACCACAAAAATAATTTGTGGTCATATGACAAGGTAATCGGGGCTATTGGAAAACAAAGCAACCTATATCAAGTAAAGAACACAGCACACTGGTTAAAATCAACAAAGCGAGAGAGTGCTTACTGCTCTATGATGCAGCCTCACACCCGCAGGGGGAGTGTGAACTGGCGTGGCGGGAATGGATGGTCTGTTCAGACTCATAAGAGACCTTGGGGATGGTGAAGAAGGTGGTTTCCCACTTGGAGTGGCTTCAGCTTCTCGATCCTTATCGGAACTATGCGGCTCAATTTCTCCATTCTGATCACGAAATTTAGCTTCAGCAGCGGCCAAGGCAGCACTTATTGCTTCTGCTTCAGCAGTAGAAGCTTCCACAAGGGACTCGACTCCTCTTCTTTCATTCCTACCAAAACAAAACGAAACAAAAATAACAGATTGAATGCCAGAAAATAATTTTAATATTTTGAGTTTTATATATACAACAGAATCTCTATAACAACACAGCTTGATATGAGAAGAAACACTTGATCTCAAATGAAAAGATCATAACTAAGATGTCTAAAAAATTACCGGGTCATTAAATGTTCTCGACTCCTCGAAGTGAAGACTTATGCTTAGTCTTTTATTAAGCAATACTCAAGAATTGAATTGTTTTGGAAAGATCATTAGAAAAAATACTAACAAAGTGAACAACAAAAATGAACATATATTGGCAAAATCGTACCTGTGTCCATGTGACAAAGCATTTGCAGTGCTTATATCCATTGATGTATCGCCATTCACGGGTGCAGCGACTGGATTAGCCATCAAGACAGAAGCTCCATCAGCTCCTAGAGAATCAGGATGTGGTACTTTCCGCACTTCCTGAGGTTTATGGGGCGAGAATGAGTGATGTGATGCCGCCGCTGCATGCAAAGCAGCAGGCGTGGTTTCCACTGCTGCTAGGTCTTCTGCTACCAATAAATCATCCAGCAATACTCCTGTTCAACACACGCAAAGAATCGATTATAAGCGAACGATTATCCAAGTCTCAATTGATCTTCAAGGTGAATATCTTGATTTGTATTCCAAAAACTGCAAAAAACTGAATCACGACTTTGCATACATCCACTTGTGACACCTACAGCCCATGTTAAATCTTCCATGCATTTGTTCCTGAGCTTAATCACATGAAAGATCACAGATGAAATTTAAATTGTTTTTACGTTACTATTAAAACATTAAAGGATGGAACTCAAGCATCAGAAACGAAATTTTTGAAACTATATACACCTTGTGTAAGAAAATTCGACCACGGCAATAAGGAGAAAAGAAAGAAATTCACCTCCTCTAAGGCCGCCATACATGAAAACAAGGTCACCTACAGAGGCAGCAGCATGCCGACAACGTCTTGTTAATTCATTAATTGCATCCCCACCAGCTGCATCATTACTATACCTCCCTGTTCGTGGGCTTGTGACTACCCCTCTTCTATCACACCACACTCCAGCAGCTGTGTCCAGAACTGCAAAATCACAGAAACGAAGCACAACGTCACAACCCTAACGTAACACATGAAATGATTTGTCTCTATGAAGAGAGATGCAGTACTGCCACCACAGCCCGTTTTGTAGGACTTCGGATTAATCTGTAACAAAATCTATGAAATGTAAACTATCATATCTACATTGCCGAATATGGATAGTGAGTGATTTCTGCAGACCTGCCACACTAGAAGAGTCCTCAACCATTCTCCCGCCACCAAGAGCTCCGCCGGAAACATGTAGTCTTGCATTTACAAATACCTGCACAACATATGTGGGAGCTATATCCTGTTTAATAAGACAGAAACTGCAAGGTGCCACTGGACTTTTCAAGTGTAGTTATCTCAAACCACTGGCTATAAGCCATACAGATCTACAATAAGATAATTTTGTATAATGCAATCTCCAGTAACATTCTGAAAAAAGACTTACAGCTGCATGCTGATATCTTGGAGATGGAGATATGCCAGGTGCTACTGCCCATTCCCACCTACCATCACGATGCTTTGCAAGGCCATATGCACTATCAAGTGGCTGCCAGAAAATAAAAAGCCTCGTGATTAATCAGTAGCTTCTTGACACATTGCACATCGCTTCTGAGTTGTATTGGACAATTTTCGCAAATAACTATTAACAAGAATTCCAACTCGGGCTAAGATGAGAACAGATAATCATACCATACTATGGACATCCCTTCCACCAGAAAGTAGTAATAGACCATCAGATCGTGCACACGCTGTCGCATACCTATATAAAAAAAACATGTCAAAACTTATCTCAAGAAAGAAAGAATAAATGAACCAAAACTTCGTGCTAGAACGATCCATTGACCCAAGTCTACATAATGACGGGTAGTGGTACCAAACAAAAAACTAAACAATAATTATATTATTTCCACGCATAATTAGCAATCAATTAACACGTCAACCAAGCATACACACGTAAATAAGCATTAACTTGATCTATAACGATCAATCAGCACACTTGTTACAGAGAGAAGCACCTCATCAAGCTCCTCTATATAAACGCAGTGTTACGAAACCCTAATACGAAAATTTCTGTACATGTAACCTACATGCATGGAGGAGGGCCATCGCCTTCTGGCTCCAGCTTCCTCCACTCGTAGGGCTTGGCCGCTGTATCAAGGGCCCATACATCCGCGAGTGGGCGTTTGCCTGGTAGGACAAATTCTTGTTAGAAAAATTTAATATCAAGTTGAAAATGTCATAAATGATTATTTAGTTCAATGGGTGGTACACGCACCATCGTTTCCGCTGATGGAGAGAAGAAATCGTTGTCCAACTAAGGACATTACGTGACCATAGCGAGGGCCTGGACCTGGTCCTTGTACAACCACCCTGCCAAAGATGAAATCCCTCCCCCTCAGTAACTAAGAGCAGTTCGACATTCTCATCGACGCAAAACCTTCTACGTAGTGAAAAGTAGACCGACGTCATAAATTCCACGTCCAATTTACTGACCGATTCAAGAGAATGGCAAAGAAAATAATAAGCATCTTCACAACCTCTGGAAATAATCTAGTCTGCAACAGTTTTTTAGGATAAATCCAAGATTTGACAAGTAATCGTCTAAAGTCAAATCCGGGCAATAATCCGACAATAACAGCCTACACGCCGATGTACATCGTATACCACTAACCTGTGCCATCTCGGCTTAGCTTGAGTTAGGTCCAAAACATGTAGATCGTCCGTAGAGAGCCCGGCCGGTCCTATGCCTCCCTGTGCATACTCCACCTTTGTCAGCTCTTCTAGAACAGTTGCAAAAGATAACAAAACAGCATACTAGTACAAGCAGCTTCTTAGCGTTGTGACATTAACCCTCTCTATGCCACACCTGAATCACCACCATAGTGCCTACAGCAGTTGCTGCATGAGCAGCTCGAGGCGAAGGAGGATCTCCGACAGGTGTAATCCTGCATCGCATTCAAGTAAATGTTGGCCACGCATACTTTAAGTATCCTAAAAGCCTGCTGGACGGACAATAGCTACACGAAATGCCGGAATCAATAAACTTATCATATGAACTAATTGAAGTAAAATATAAATAAAATATAAATTCGTGCATTTTCCTCCCTCGAAATCCTCAAAAACCAAATAAAAGGTAGAAAATAAAAAATCATGACTTTCAGCTCCTAAACTCACCATGGCTTGAAGTTCTACAGTGAGTTGACCTAATATCCAGTGATTAAGCAGTCTCACCGTAACGACCGTACTATATTTAACTGTCTCGTATGAAACACTAAACCCCCGTGCAAATTCTTACGAAGTCCGATGCGCCAGTATGGTTTACAAACTAAAATAATTAGAAATGTAAAGTTGACGAAGGCTGACCTTGTCCATTGGTTAGACTGCACGTCATAACAGTGCACGTCTGCAGTAGCACCTGCCAAACCTAGACAACCAGTACAACAGGTAGTGAGTTCACAGAGAAACCACTTTCTGTTGTACCAATGGATGTCAACTAGACATGATAACAAGATGATTGTTAAGGAAAAATCCGGGATTCTCCAAAAGTGATCGATTAGTGGGTGATGAGCCGGAATTGACAAGTTCTAATTAGGATGAATTTGACTAATCATTTCGATTTGAATTCAGTGCCTCAAAAGTGTGTTACGGAGGTCACGAAAAATAGATCAGAGACATGTACTCGCATACGACTTCTTATCGTGGGTTATTTTTCAGCCCCTTTAAAGGCGCCAAACTCCAGTGCATATAAAATAAAACCAGCAACCTATCCGATCCTGCTCTAAAATCCCTCGAAAATAGTTGTTCTCCTAAAAACAGGCTGAGTTCAATAGAAACATACGAATGCCAGCTCCAGACGAGGCAGCTTGAGGACCAGCCGCGCTGCTCCCCTCCAAGGCCGTCGCCCCACCAAAAAGAATAAGCCTCGGACCAATATATCCAGGGGAGCCTTCTTCATTCACAGAGGCCACAGCCGTCAATGTATGGCCGCAACGTGGACCAGGCCCGTCATCTCGCTTTTCAATTACAGAGTTCACAACCCTGTACGTAGGCGCCGGTCGAGGTCCAGACAGCTGTTGATGCTGCGGATGAGAGTTCTGCTGAACCGGCGCTGATGGAGCAGCTTGCTGCGACGCTTGCTCCACTGAAGCCACAGCAGGCGGCGACGTCACAGCCTCTCCTCCCCAAGTATCCCCTGAACGAGGCTCCGACACCACATTCGCCGTTCCTGTCAATGCCTCGGTCTGTTTCCGGTCCACCTCTTCATCCTCGCCCTTTTTCACCTGCTCGAGCTTGTTCTCTTTCTCTCCATCCTGCTCTATCGTCTGCACTTCCTGCTCACCGTGCCGCTCAACCTCCTCCTGCTCCCCCATTCCTCCAGACGCATCTACCTCCATAACCCTAAGTAACACACCCTAATCTCATCTACCTCTGCGCTCTCCACCCTCATATCGTACCCACGCCATCTCAGTTCCAACCATTAACACTAACGCACTCGATCCATCACCACGCACAACCCTCCCAGAGACGAAGTCCCAAAAACTCAATCTCCCTCCCTCCCTTTCACGAATCGACTACTTCTAATCGAACTGCATAACCGCACGCTGAAACGCCAGCTCACAATCAAATGCAACAAAAGCACCCGTCGGGCAACGGAACACATCCGCACGCAACAACGTCAACGCAGATGGAGCTCTAGAGAAACAGAGGCTTCGGGACTCCAAAAGCTTCACTCACAGAGAGAGAGAGAGAGAGAGCGCGGCCAAGGGTAAAGAAAAGAAAAAGTAAAACGAGGCATAGCGGGAGACAGAGACGCAAACGGAGCGACAGACAGACAGACAGACAGACAGACCGACCGACCGACCGACGGACGAACACCCGAGCCAGCCAGCCAAGTCAAGCCAAGTCCACCACCTCCCTTCTTCCCTGCCCTCCCTCCTCTCCACCTGAATGGATGCACGCACGCTTTGGGGGTCGGCGCCTGGATTTGATCCCCCCCCCCCCCCCCCGCATTCGTCATCCTCGACTCGTCTCCTCGTCTCCATTCCCGCTTCCTCACTGACCACGCACTGCTGGAAATTTGGAGATGCCACGTCGACAATATGGTTTAATTGAGACTTTCAAAAAGTTCCAAAAAAAAAGTGTATTTGTGTTTTCTATATTAAATAAAATATAATTAATGATTACGCGACATAAAAATGCTAAAATGTATATTCTATGAGTATGTAGGTATGCATATGTTATCAAAATTTGTAACAATTACGAATTCAATTCACTCCTAAACATAACCATACATTGAATGAAGGAATACATAAATACATTTTTATAGTAAAAGTAACAGTAAAAGTAAAAAATGTTTTGTATAAATAGTAAAAACTATTTATATAAAAATATTGGTAGAAATTATTTTACTAAAAATGGGTGTTACCAAAAAAGAAAAAGAAAAACTCGGTTCTATCATTGAAATACAGAGATTATATTGACTTGCTTATGACATTTCAAACTCTACTACAACTCATATATATACATATATATATATATATATATATATAGAGAGAGAGAGAGAGAGAGAGAGAGAGAGATTTATTGTGATTCTTACATATGCTAATAAACAATTGGTTAAAAGTTTTTAACCACTTATAATAATGAAATAAATATTTTAAGCAAATAATTGGATTTAGAAATATCTTTTCTTCACCAAAGTCAAATAGGCCATAAATATCTGCAAGAGATAGTAAACTGAAGATCTGAAAATCTTGACAACTTAGAAATACTCAAGAAATTGGAAAATGTAGTTATTGATACATTTAAATATGCTTTTTTAATTTTCTTAAATTTTTAATGGTTCAATCCTCCAAAATAATTATATGGGCGTCTGTAACTTGTTCTTCTTGCCCGTTTCTTTCTTTTTGTCTTTTTTTTTTTTTTTTTTTTTTTTTCAATACAATGAAAAGGATTGGCAATAGAAAACTTGATTGCAATTCTGAAGGCAAAATAAATTTTTTTTAACATTATAACCTAAAAAATTACAATATGATATCTAAAAAAACATTTATTGAAAGTTTAATAGGAATTGTAATTATTTTTAGCATTGAATAAAAAAACTAAGCTATCAATTAAGAAATTATTTAAAAAGTGTAGTATTTTATATTTTAGTTTTTTTATATATAATCAATCCATAATTTTGAATATATAATTATGCCTATGTATTGTGTTTCTTTTTTTAAGCACTATATTCTCTGAAAGTGACACACATACTTATACCAATTGTGCTACAAATAGTAAACATTGCCCTTTTTTTATTATTATTTTTTGTTTTCCTTTCACATTTCATATCTAATGCAAAAAAAACGTTTAGACAAGTATACATGCTTGTCATATGACAACAATGTGTGAGAAGTCCATTTCTCAATTTAAATGCAAAGTGTATTGTAAGAACCATTAATATCACTAATTATTATTGAAAACAATCACCATAGGCTGGGTCCCCATTTTTAAATCTCTACATGTCATACAATTACGTTCTTTTAGACACACCATTATGATACATCACTAACATCAAGATTTTAATTGTGGCATTATGAGATGCTGCACACACAAGCAATGACATGGATTTCTTTTTTCCTCAAAATCATTAAATCATATCATTCTTTATCTAACATCAAAACCCATGTTTTCATTTCCCAGACATCTCACATATGCAAACACCCATTGCTAATGCACTTTTACTTTTACTCTACCCCCCCCCCTTTTTTTGGTACACAGCTTCACTTCAAATGAACAGCATAAACAAACAGAAATGGGTGGTGACAATTCCCACAGAAAAAAGGAAACTGTGTTCCTGGAACTAGGTCTACACCCAGAGTGGCATCTGGTAGCTGCCATTCCATCAACTGCCACAATGGGACAAATCCCATGGCAAAGGAAAGTGTGACATGCTGTGAGCTTGAGCATGGACCCAACTAGAGGGCGCCCAGCCACCAACAAACAAACAAGCAAGGGAGGGAGGGAGGGAGGGAATGAAGGGAAGGGAAGGGGAAAGAGTCCACCACAGGAGTATGACTCGGCAGGCTCCTCCTGCTCTGCACAGACACAACACTACACTACCCAACCCAACCTACCCCGCCTCTTCCAAATAGCACCAAAACTGGGGCCTGCGCTAGCATAGGGGAGTTGGGGGGGGGGGGGGCATTGGAAAGCACGCCAGGCGGAAACACGAGAGAGACAAAAGTAACCTGCCACCGCGCAGCTGACGAGGATCGGACCTCTGCGTTGACACCCCCAAACCCCTTGCCACGTCGATACGCCTGGCTGCCACGTGGAGAACATTGGCCCAGCTACTCTCCCGTCAGCAGCAAGAGAGTCTCGTTCCCACCGTTCTGGTCGTTCTCGATGTTTTCCTAGATGCTGTTGGATTACATGAGCAACGGGTGTAGATATGGCTTTTCGGGAAGAGGGCAGAGGTCGGCGGGGCGGGACGTGACGTCGTTGAGGGGGAGGAGGCCATCGGGCTTTCGGTTCAATTCCGTTCAATTCCATTAATTGTTGATTCGTAACGTGGATTCTGGATGCGTTGCTGGTCGCTGGTTGAGTGGTTCTATGTAGATCTGGGTGATTATGGTGGGTAGGTTTTTTTGGGTTCTCGAATTGTGGTGTTCGAGGTGGTTCATGAAATTCGAGGCGATAGTTTGGTTTTGATTGTGGGATTGGAGTATTGGAGGATTGGAGCTCGTCAGTTAGAAACATGGGGAATGCGAGCAGCACTGAGGACACGAGTGAGGCGTTTGTAATCGCGTCCAAGTAAGATTCAAAAAAAGAAAAGGGTTTATTTTTATTTTTATTATTATTATTTTTTATTTTAGCGTTTTTTTGTGCTTTTATCAATTTTTTTGCGAGGCCGTGGAATTGAGGTGATTTGAGGTCTAGGATCAATGTTCATGGGACCACTGGGCTGAATTTGTGTGGCAGGAAGTTCAGTGAATCGGAGTTGCGAGACCTGAAGAAGCTGTTTGTTTCTCTGGCTTATCAGTCCAAAAGCGGTGGCAAATACGTAATAGCTTCCGTTTTTCAGGTGCGGGTATTGTTTATGATTTTAGGACATTTTTTCAGAGAAGTCATTTAGCTGCTTGGAACGGGTTTTTGTTGCATTGAAATTTCCTTAAAGTAATGGGGGGATGCTGAGTTGCTTGTTGTTCTTATGCTCGGTTTATCAACCATGGAATGGGTGGAGCTCAGCGGAAGGATGTTGGCAATTCATTAGGTTATGTTTATTGTTTGGTATGCCAGGTCCTCACATCGTGCATGTACGTGCGTACTGATAACTTTCTTCAAAATCACTCAGGCATATTTTGGCATCCATGGTTCGTTGGGAGGGCGGTTATTTAATCTTATTACTCAGGAGCGGGAAAACATGTGTCTCTACTATGAAGACCTGGTTATTGCAAAGGTATGGAGCAAACTCTCAGTCTGAAGTCATCAGTCCGGTACTGCGAAATTTAAACTAATGTGTATGTAACTGAAATTTCATTCTTTTTGACGATCGTGGTGAACATCTCAGCCGAATATCTTAGATTGTGCAGCGTGAGGTTTCCGTCTTAAACTTTCACGACACGAAGAATGCTTTAGAACTCTGTGGAATAACGAGATTTAGAGATTCCTTGGTATTGAAAGAGTTGTGCTTCGTTTAAATTCTAAATGGCTTTCACGGATTTGCCACTAACATGGTTTCAGCACTGCTTGTAGGGGTTGTACGAGAAAGGTGCACCGGATGAAGTTGAAAACTTCATGTACCAACTAGTGGATTTAAGTGGAGATGGACATACTCAAAGGTCAATTCCCAATCTGGCTCTTCTGTTGATCTCACTGTTAAATTCTGAATGGTGTTAAGTTCGCTTTTTGGCAATCTTGAGTTCTGTGAAAAGAAAAAGAAGAAGAAAAACACAATGTGACGGGTTACGATTACAATAAAATCGCCCAGTGATTTCACCGTGCACTATTTGCATGTCCAAAATCTTCACTAGGAGAACGACGTCTTATATTCCCGTTCGTCTACTTGAAAGTTTTGATTGTTGTGCAGGGCAGAGGTGGAAGGGGTCATTTTATCTATATTGCAGACAGTGTTAGGTCCCAGTAATGCAGTGACGGGTGCAGGCTTATCAGAGGGCAGTCTGCAGTCTTTCCTTCAGGCAGCAAGCTTTACAGAAGATGTGGAGGGTGAGGCTGCACCCTGCATGTCTCTTGAGGACTTTCGCAAGTGGTGTGCATCTGTTCCATCCATCAAGAAATTCTTGACGTCACTCCTCAAAGGACCTGCCCCAGGTTTGTGCTGTGCATATCTATTTGCCATCTGGTATCCTTATTTCTTAACTGATCACTGATGCAGTTTTTATAGGTTTTTTTTTTTGCGTTCAAATGCTTGAATGTATTGGACACATGCCTACTATACTTTTTTTTGCATCAGGATTGCCGGGGCGACTCGTTCCAGAGCTTTTAATGCCAGACAAGATGGGCCAGCTACAACCAGTGATGAGGAAGGAGTATGCTTGGCATCTTGCGGGAGTTATGCAATCACAAGAAGCCGTTCAGTGGGTTCTTGTTTATCACAGTTCCGCTCATGGCCTCAGCTTCAATACATTTTTAGGCAAGCTTGCGTAAGTTTTTCTCAGTATACTCTTTAGGTTGTTATGTTCTGCGGTATGTTAATGCACATATTGTAAGATTCTGCAAGGGACTGTCATCTCCACTGCTCCTCAGTCCTCACGAGTCCTTTAGTTGAGAAGTATTCTGGAAGCTGTGATTACAAGCTACTGCTCCATGTCTTTTAACAGCTAATGGGTGACAATGACAAAATTTGCAACACAGCTCTAACAGAATGCTCAGCAATTTGACAGGATCGTGCAAGGGCCATCAGTGCTGGTAGTGAAAGACAAGCAGGGTTGTGTGTATGGAGGTTACGCTTCTCAGCCTTGGGAAAAGCATAGCGACTTCTACGGAGACATGAAGTCTTTCCTCTTTACTCTCCACCCAAAGGCTGCTATATACCGACCAACTGGGAAGAATACGAACTTGCAATGGGTGAGGATGCCATCCGACTTCGTTTGTTTGTTTATTTTTTTGTTATTTTGTTTTTTCTTGTCTTTTTATATATTATTATTATTATTATTATTATTTTATTCCAAGAGGTTTTGCTCTTATCTTTAAATTTCAGCATTTGTCAGAGATCTGTAATTATTCGAATTTTGTTGTGGCTCAGTGTGCAGCAAATTTTTCATCGGAGAGCATTCCAAACGGTGTCGGGTTTGGTGGCCAAGTCCACCACTTTGGTCTCTTCATAAACGCGGCTTTTGAAGGAGGTCATACCAGGCATTCAGTAACATATAACAACCCACCTTTATCGTCCCAGTCGAACATTCTGCCTGACGTTGTTGAATGCTGGGCAGTGGTTGTCAAAACAGACGACAATACTTCCAACGGAGCTTCTGGTCTGCAGGGCACTGTTCTGGAGCGATTCAAGGAAGATCGACAAATGCTTAACATGGTGGGAATTGCAGGAGCAAGTATGGATTGACATTTTCTGAGCTTTATAAATACTTGCTCATATCATTTGTGTATTAAATTGTTTTCTTTTGGTTGAGGATGAAGAAGGTGCAAATTTACCTCTTTTTGGTAGTGATGTGCCACGCAACGAAATGTACTATGGACTGCAAAATCAATGCTTATTACCAAATTGTGATACATTATATACATATTATGTTTCAGCGGTCACCTCTTATATCCGGACTATATTCCAAGTACAGCATGACATAGCAGTGATGCAATGGTTGGAAATATGAAGACAAGTCAAAAAACATTAAAACTCAGTGAATTGGAAAAGTAAGCGGTCTGGAATTTTTTAGAGATCCTCCATATTCACAATATCACTAAAATGATACTGGGTTGTACATAGATGATTCAGAATGAAAGATATAGCCTCCACATGTGTATGAACATGATTTAAAAATTGGCGACTACCTTGTAAATACTCGAAGGCCTCATAGAAAAAAATTCTTGCCCTCTGGAATGTACTCAAAGCAGATTCAGTTTATTGGGGCGGGAATAGCTCGCAACGATGCTAGAGAGTGAGGAATAAGATCCCAAGACCAGGCAAATGAACCCAACAAGAATCACCATAGCACACAAAATCACCTGTGACATGAATGAACCGTCGTCAACATATTTGGTAAAGAAAATAACATCTACTTCCTGTTTGGCAATCAGACACATTAAGGCAATTTGGTTGTACTTCGATAGATTCAAACATTGGGCTATGAGGCTATTAATTTTTAAGAGGAAAAACAGATGTTTTGAGAGATCGTAATTAAACTTGATTCATTTCAGACTCTCTTGTTGAGGAACTTACTTGGTACGCTGGCAGTTTTTTGCCGAAGATGGCAAGATAGCATGCACAAGGCAAAATCAATGACTGCAATCCCAAACCAAATAATGCGTCAGTTTGCAAGATACCATAGTTGGAACATGAAACGTAATACCAACAACGATCACGACCTAGAGGATTGAGATAATTTTTGTTCATGAGTTAAGCTCCTAACTTTTAGTCTTCCTTTGCTCTGTTTTGCTCACTCCAAACTCAAAGCACGAGCGTCAGCATCAGAATACATTACTCACCACATTCATACTTAGGAAGGAGCCTATAAAAGCCATCACAAAACCTGTGATCCAAATTTATGAGAGCAAAGGTCAGAACCATGAATTTATATTATCAAAGCAACAAAACATGCAGGGAAATTATTGACGCTTGGTAGAAAAAAGTAAATTTTCTTGTGTGTTGAGGGGGTATTCAAATGTTAGAAAAGTGATAAAACTCTACAGGTGCACTTAATGTGATTAGTAAAGAGCACGCTGTAAGCAACCCTAGATTGGCTGCTCTATTAGAATACAGAAAAACCAAGTGATACCGATTTGAAAAGACTTCTCTGAGACATGTCCAGAAAACGAATTTTCCAACAAAATGATAGATGGTTTTCCACACTCCATTAAAAAAAAAAAAAAAAAAAAAAAAAAACTCCTGATGGGAAGAATCTCACCAAAAAACGGCACCAAAAGCGCAACACCTATGGTGGAAATCACAAGTGCTGTGCGTATAAGGATTGACGAGGACCGATGCTTCATAGAGTCAGGGTTATGTGGTAGTAGTTCCTCCAAGCTTAGTGCCACTGGTGTCATCGATAATGCAAATTTTGTGAACGGATTCACCACCTGTATAGCAATAACCAAAACGATATACACTTAAACCCATAATTAAAGATAAGCTTCATTTCATATCCACGAAAATAAGAAAACCAAATATAACTTCATAATTGAACCATTTATAACCTAGAAAACTTCTGATTTTATTCACAAATTCATTTTATGACCCTCATCAACTATGAATCCTTGAATATTTTCAGACCCAGAGACTGCACCAAAGAACGATATTCGCTTTATGGCATCGTGGAAATGGACCTAAAGAAGTATGAGCATGAACATTATGAAGAAAAGGCGACGAAACGCTGGAGAACTGGGCTCACCGTGGTCCAAACTGCGATATTCGAAGCCAGAAACTGTTTGGGTAAATTAAGAGTTATCTGAGATGCGGTATCTTCTCCAAACATTGTGAACCCCATGACTGCCATTCCAGAATAGAGAAGCGTGCATAGTATGAAACTGCGAATCAAAGCACATGCAACAAATGAGATCAGAGAAGAAAGACGTCTCTCCTTCGACATATTCATAAAACGGCATAAACAGCTACCAATATATAAATCATGGTTGATATTGAGAGCGCACCTTATACCTAGTACTTTGTTGTAGGCATTCCGATTCCGCAATGAGGAATAGATGTTGGGAAAGACGGCATGTCCGGAATAACAAAAGCCATAGAGACCAATAGATACAGGAAGACTGGACAACTTGAAAAGTGGTCCAGTTTCATGAAAGCCCACGCCATCCACCGCTCCCACCCAGAAAACGGAAATTCCTACTACAAATGATGCTACCACGCCTCCAGCTGTACTCAGCGAAAAAACAGCAGGATTCCTTGTGATGATGGAGGAACCTTTTGACTTCCAATTGCAAAAAACATTACAACATATTCAAACATACTCGTTCTGTAAAAATCCAGACAGACAAGCGAGTAGGGAATCTCTCTATTGATTACATGAAGTTTCTCTATCCACTTTTGCCTCCATTCTTATCAAGCTGAACTTTGGTGAGTATTATTATTCTATTTAAATGAAATTTGATCTCAAAATCCTTTGAACAGTTCCAATCAAAGTATAAACAAATTCCAAGCAGACGAAGTGTGCCAAACCTGAAACGTATGCCAAGTAACTCAGATCCCGTAACCATACTGTAGGTAGCACGAATATTGCTGTCAGAAGAGAAAACATGGATTTTCCTTCAAGATGAAGACCCGCAATGGAGAGATGTGCCCCCGGAAAGAGTGATGACAGGTTGTCTCCTTCCAAAATTAAAAACTCCACACAGCATGCCTGAGAAGAACCAATTCAATCATTATGAAATAACCAATCATTATGAAATAAGACTGAAAAATCTTTTGTGAAGATCTAATGCGAAACAATACACTGAACATCACAGTGAAGTATTTAGATATTTAAGATTTCAAAAGAGCATGTCCATTACTCAACCGACGAGAAGAATACGACAATTACAACAAACAACATGGACATGGCGTACTAAAATGCTCAAGTCCAGGTTTCGAAGAGCCAAATGCATTTGAGTGACATAAAGCTTTAGGAATCCAAAAGTTCATGCATTGGAAAAATATATGCTTACGTAGAGCTCAGTATAAAGAATGATCTGCACATGACCACAGAAGAAAGTACTTCATCAGACGAGCGAGAAAAAATAAATGGTATTGAATTTCTTTAAAAAAGATTTTGAAAAAACTATTGGTATTGTAAAATAGCCTCAATAGCAAACATGCATCACTTTCTTTCTGCGATTATGACGTCCTTTGAAATAAGTAAGTACTGACAGGCTATGAAATTAATGGCCAACTGGTACAATCGCCTGATCTACAGGAAAACAAGATGCATCAAAGCTGACATTTTGGCATATCGCGGGGACAATGTTCAAAGAATTTCGGCGACACAACAGGTAGTCTGGTTCTTAAGACTTACAGATATTATGATACGTCCAGTGTACCCAAACGCTGCTTGTCCAATATCTGGGTACGTGGCTAGGCCAGGTCCACTTTCCAAGCATCGCCGCAGGAGAATTCCAGTGAAGAAACATATAATTGATAATAAAATCAGGTATAACATACCAATCCAGCCCGCTTCCTTCAAAGCAAAAGGAGTCGTCAAAATCCCCACGCCAGCCAGCACGTTCATTCCTGCACTAGTACAAGTCTACAACTTAAACGTTTAAAGTGCAGAAAGGAGGCACTGGACAGAATACACTCTATATACAACAATGATTGAGCCATGCATTTGCACAGATTGTGAAATCAATGTATAGTTCATTCAAATCCATTCCCTTGGTGGAGAGGACAATTTTCATAGTTGCTTGTCATGTCAAACCAAAGTCACCATAATGTTTCAGTACCCGTCATAGACTAATCGACATTCACTTTATTGTACTAGACTTTATGCGAATGCTACCTCCAACCACATCTCCAACCACAGCTCATGGTTGACACAATAAATACAGTTATGAACACTGCCATCAAAGAATGACATCTAAACTTTCAATGAAGGAAGGGTGAATTAAGGTTGAAACGCTGAGGTAGAGATTAACACAAGAAAGTTTAGAACCAATTCACTATATCGTAGGTGACTGTGAAAGGTATCAAAATATGTGAAAATTTACATTATCCTACCATTGAAAAGCCCTTGCAACAAACTGCTTCCCTGGGGTTTGATTCCGTGATATTCGGAAAGTTCGTAGACAGATTCCGTCTTCACGCTTTGATTCTCCAGCCTCCAGGCAAGGTCGGAGTAGGGCAGCCCATGTTCGTCCTGTCTGTCCTTGTCCTGCAGAAACGGAATCCCCAAAGGCTGTGTACCAGTGGTCGAACGATCTGATGGCAGTCTTTGGTACGACGAGCCCAAGAAGGAGGAACTAAAACGACGGTGTAGACTTGGACTGAACAAGCTGATCCTCGGGGATTGCAAGCTGCTGTACATATCCATGGATTGTCTGCAAGAACCAAACACAATGACCGCATAACATTATGGTTCACTAATCGGACGAGCCGGGGCCTAACAAATGCACAGCCTGCAGCACAACCCCAACTTCTCCGCGATCTCGTGACCGTCAAATACTCGCCAGACAAAACTGCCGTGCCTCGCATCACATTCTTAAGGATTGGGACGGGGCAGGGCAAATGAGAACTAACCAGACCCAAAAGAATCAAAAACCATGCACAAACAGTATGACAAACTGAAAGAAAATTCAACACAAGCAGGATAACAGAAAGGGCACAGCAACGTACAACGCCACCACTTGGTCAATCACAAGAATGAAACGCAAATCAAAGGCATGCCAATCTCCTTCCTCAAATTCTCAACGCAATACCAAAATTGCTCTCATACACAACCCTCAAAGTTCCAAATAATTCGTCTACCACGCCAAGAAACCAGTCAACCGACGCTGAACAGTCCATCCACAACGAATTTTTCTTAAAAGAAAACTTTAGTTTCACGATTACTTGTAACTCTGCGGCCACGCGCCGACAGAGCCAACAACGGTGCTCGCATCATTGGTGCCATTGGGATCCTCTTCGTCGTCGTCGTCGTCCTCCTCCGATCCCGATCCCGATCCAGAGAGTTCTTCCTCGGCCTCCTCGCCATCGTCCCAGTACCGCGCTTGTGACCGCATTCTGTCCCCCTTTTGTCAATTTCCCTCCCCGCACAGAGCGAAGCCCTGGGAACTCCCCGAAACTCCCCGGCCCCGAAACAATCCGCGCACTGAAGCTCGGAAAATCTCTCTCGCAACAGCGCAAATGAGGAGCTGCGCAACGCTCGAGAGACTTTTGGATGCGGGTCTTTGTCGACTGCGGAATCTTATGTCTACGTGTCCGGATGGAAGTGCCAGCTTGGCTGCCAACAGGGATCCGCGTGGGTCCAGCTGTAAAAACGTCTGCTTGACACGTGTAGGATGAATGATATTAGGTGGAATTATGTCGTCAAAAAGCTTTTTTTTTCTCTTTTTGGCCTTATTAGCCTACTTCATCACAATGCATATAATATTGAAACATAGAAAGCAAACTCCACACAAGCAAGTTAGGACTAGCAAGGTTGCACTTCACAAATAGAATGTGGTATGAGATAATTCTTCCCATGCCAACCCTTTTCTTATATACTAGTACCAAGGTACCATGTGTTACAACCCATATGGGATATCTCTTAGGACCAGCCCTCTCCTTGTATTCTAAGGCACTATAGACCAGCAACTAACCTTGTAGGATATCCCTCATTACTCATATACTCTATTGACCATTAGCAACAACTAAATGAGTTCTTTCCTTCAACACTCCCACTTTGCTATTGGTCAATTAGCTATCAATCCTAATGCCTTACTCAATATGTTGTGTCTCTCTTTCACCAAGGCTTTTGTTAGCAAATCAGCCAACATGTCTTTGGTTTCACAATACATCATATCAATAACTCCCATCTCTATCTTCTCTCTTATAAAGTGGTGTTGAATATCAATGTGCTTGGTTCTTGCATGATGCTTTGGATTCTTTGCAAAAGCCAAACATCCTTGATTGTCACATCTCAATGGAGTGGCTTCCAATTGCACAAGTCCAATGTCTTCCAATAACAACCTCAACCAAATTGCCTCCATTGCTCCATGACTTGCTGCCATATACTCCGCCTCCATTGTAGACCTTGCAATGGTTGGTTGTCTCTTACAATTCCAAGATATGGCTCCCATTCCAACAAAGAATACATAGCCCGTTGTTGATCTTCTATCATTTGTATCTCCAGCCCAATCCGCATCACAATATCCATGTAATGCAATATTATTTCCTCCAAGACATAGTTTATGGTTCAAAGAGCCTTTCAAGTACCTCATGATTCTTTTGATGGTTGCCCAATGCATAGGACCTGGTTTTGCCATGTGTTGACTTACAACACTTACTGCAAATGCAAGATCCATCCTTGTACCCACCATTGCATACATGAGTGAGCCTACTGCTGCCTTGTATGGTATGCCTTGCATTTGATGCTCAACTTCAGCATATTCCTCATCCGTGAGCTTCATCAACTTCAAGTTGGCTTCCAAAGGAGTTCCAATGGGCTTGCAATCTTGCATGTTGAATCGTTTCAATACTTCTTCAATGTACTTGCTTTGACTCAATGTGATGGTCTTTGATACTCTATTCCTTGTAAATTCCACACCCAAACAATAATGAAGCTCTCCCAAATCACTCATTTCAAACTCTTTCTCCAATTTCTTCTTCAACCAATCTAATTTTACTATGGTGTTGCTTAAGATGATTAAATCATCTACATAGAGGATCACAACCAACAAGAAGTCCTTGGCTTGCAACACATACAAAGAATGGTCAGCTTCACTTCTTATAAAACCTTCCTTCACAAAGAATGAGTCAATGCGTTGATACCATGCTCTTGGTGATTGCTTGAGTCCATACAATGACTTCTTCAACTTGCATACAAGGTTGGGTTTGTCTTGATCAATAAATCCTTGAGGTTGCTCCATGTAGATGTCTTCTTCCAGTTCTCCATTCAAGAAGGCTGTCTTGACATCCATTTGATGCATCTCCAAGTCTATTGATGCTCCAATTGCTACTATGGTTCTAATGGTAGTGAATTTGGCCACTGGAGCAAATGTCTCATTAAAATCCACTCCAGCAACTTGTGAGTAGCCTTTGGCAACCAATCTTGCTTTGTACCTCACAACATTGCCCATAGCATCTCTCTTGGTTCTAAACACCCACTTACATCCAATTTCTGAACGATTTGGTGGAAGTGGAGTCAACTCCCATGTCTTATTGTCCATAAGAGATTTGTACTCTTCTTGCATAACAATCTCCCACTTCATTGCATCACCACACCTCATTGCATCACACAAAGTCAATGGATCATCAAGAAGAGCAACATTGGCCTGATCTTCACTTACTTGTGGAAAGATGTGGTTCTTCCATCATTCACCTTGTGGTCTTCTTTCACGTGTTGGATATCTTCTTTCATGCAAAGAAGATGAGCCTTCATGCACCTCTTGCTGCCTTCTATGGCTCATACACTTTCTTCTCTCATTCATTGGTTGATATTCTTCATCTTCATTCTCTTCATTGTCCTTGTTGTATCTTGTCTGGAATTGAAGTCTTTATAGAGTTGGGCTCTTCTTCAATGATATCTTCATTTCCATCTTCACTTTGAGAATGTTCTTCTTCATCTTCTTGTTTGTTTGCTGAAATTGAAGATGTGTCCACAAACACACCACTACTCCCACTTGGACACATCTCCCACTTTTCACTTGCACTCTTATACTCCAAGAACTCTACATCACGACTTTTGATGATCTTTTTGGTGTCTAAACACATGAGCCTATATGCCTTGGTGCCTTCACAATATCCAAGGAATGCACATCTTGTGCCCTTTGCATCAAGTTTGCCTCTCATACTATCTGGAACTTTAGCATATGCAATGCATCCAAAAATCCTCATATGAGATAAATAAGGTTTCTTACCAGTCCAAGCTTCTTCGGGAGTCATTCCTTCAAGTGCACTTGTGGGACACCTATTTCTTGTATATACGGCATTTATCACAGCTTCCGTCCAATACTCATATCCAAGCTTTTGAGCATGAATCATACTCCTTACCATCTCCACAATGGTGCGATTTGCTCTTTCAGCAACTCCATTTTGTTGTGGGGTGTAGGGAGTGGAGGTTTGTCTTGCAATGCCTTCATGCTTCAATAACTCATCAAAGTCTTTGGACAAATACTCACCTCCATTGTCCGATCGCAGCACCTTAATCTTGTGCTCACATTGCTTCTCCACAAGTGCTTTCCACTCCTTAAACTTAGCAAAACACTCACTTTTGGCCTTGATGATATAAATCCATACCTTCCTTGAAAAGTCATCAATAAATGTGACAAAATATCTTGCTCCACTCATAGATGGTGTTTTCATGGGTCCACAAACATCCGAATGCACAAGCTCCAGCAATTGATTTGCTCTTGTTGCAATTCCACTAGGAAATGGTGTCCTATGTTGTTTGCCTTGAATGCAACCTTCACAAGATAGATTCATAGTAGAATGGCCAAGGTCTAAGCCACTTACCATGGATTGAAGCTCCTTCATGCTTTTGGCATTCAAATGTCCAAGTCTTTGATGCCAAATGCCCACTTTATCTTCATTTGATGGAAATTCAGCAAAAGTAGCAACCTCTACTCCATTGATGCACTTGCAATTGATAATATAGAGATTGCCATCTCTAATCCCTTTTGCTACTTCTTTGCCTTCCATGGTTCTCACAAAACATCCATTCATATTGAATTGCACTTTGCACCCATGACTTACAAGTTTACTCACCGAAAGGAGGTTCTTCTTCATCTTTGGCACATGCAACACATCCTTGAGTGTGATCCTCTTACTTATGCCCTTGACCACTACTTCCACTACAATGGTGCCCATTCCAATGGCTTGTACCATACCATTATCACCTAACCAAACCTTAGTTGCTGGAATTGGTTGATAAGTGTTAAATGAACACTTGTATGGAGTCATGTGTTTGGTACATCCAGAATCCACGATCCATTTGCTCATATCAAGCATGGAAGAAGTTTGTTTTGCCATGAATGCAAAGTCATCACCTCCATGGTCATGAAAAGCATTATTGGCATTCTCTCTTTCTCTTCTCTTTGCCTTGAAACAATTCCTAGCAAAATGCCCTGGTTTTCCACAAATATAAGAAGTTTTGGGAAGATTACGTTGAATGGAAGTACTTGCCTTACTTGGTCTCGTGAATAGTGCTGATTGCTCTCCAATAGACTCCTTTTGCTTTCTTTTGGTCACTTCATGGGCTAGTCTTGCCGTGACATAGTCCAAAGTAAGATCTTTTCTTGAAATTGACTCCAATGTCATAATGAGGGAGGAATAGGAGTCCGGAAGGCTTGAGAGCAATGTCATCACAACATCTTCTTCAGGTAAAGGCTTGTCAATAACAGCAAGTTGGTTTGCAAGTGCTTTTACCTTATTCACATGAGCCATGAGATCTTCACCTTCTTCCATCTTCACGGTGAAGAATTTTTGCCTTGACCATAGTACATTGGAGAGATTTCTACTCTCATAGACGTTGCAAAGAGTCTTCCATGCCTCTGCTGCCCCTTTGCAAGAAATGACATGAGCAAAGTTGCTCTCATCTAAATTGGTGGCAATTATGCCAAAAGCCTTCTTTTCTCGTCTTTTGAACTCCTTATGCTCCTTGATGCTTGCCTCTACCCCAGGTGCCTCTTCCTCCTCACATACAATCTCCCAAAGATCCTATGACGCCAAAAGTAGCTCCATTTTGGCCTTCCAGTGGTGAAAGTTGTCACCTTTGAACTTTTCAACCATTCTCAAGCTATCACCCTCAAAAGATGCCATCTCAAGCTACACGTAGGTCCAAAAAACTCTTGATTTGGAGTTGTAATGGAGAAGATATCACTACTCAAAGATCGCTGAACCACAAACCCAGAATTCGCTGTTTTGCAACTTTTTGTAAATTATGAGTCCAAATCACGTCTAAATGGTGGAGAATGAATTGTAAAGTAATTCTATGGCTCTCATAAGTCTCCCTCACGTCACTCCACTCAAAAAGACTCACTATCTCATAAAACTTTCAAACACTAGTGTTACTTCAGCAAAGACACTATCAAGGTCTTGCACAAAACTCATATACTCACAAATCCAGGAGCAATGACTTCAACAATACACTAGCAACACTCTACCATAAGATCCCAACCACCAAAGTAAGCAATAAAGAAATAATGCAAGAACAACTTACTTGGTAAGAGAGTGTGGGCCCATAACCTATTGAAACATAGAAAGCAAACTCCACACAAGCAAGTTAGGACCAGCAAGGTTGCACTTCACAAATAGAATGTGGTATGAGATAATTCTTCCCATGCCAACCCTTTTCTTATATACTAGTACCAAGGTACCATGTGTTACAACCCATATAAGATATCTCTTAGGACCAGCCCTCTCCTTGTATTCTAAGGCACTATAGACCAGCAACTAACCTTATAGGATATCCCTCATTACTCATATACTCTATTGACCATTAGCAACAACTAAATGAGTTCTTTCCTTCAACATATAAGAATCCATTTCTGTCCCATTTAAGTCTAATTCCGGGTATTGAGGCAGTATTTAAGGAGTTGTGAATACAGTTTAGCTCTACAGATTAATGAGAAGTGTAGGTGCATCAGAAACACAGTTCTTGGTTAATTTGTGAATTGTTGATCGTGAACTCTTCTGATTCTAATTTTTAAAAAATTTTATATCTTTTATCCTCAAAATTTTAATTCAAGTAAAGAGTAGGTGGTAATAGACAATCTTTACAATTATCGTTTACTTAAGTAATAAGCATAATTTTTGAAAATGGTTGTAATGTTAAAGCCTTCAATATTAATTCAGATTTCAATGAATATTGTCATTATTGAGAAAATACATCTTTATAGATCAATACAATAGCGGTTTTGAGTGTAAATTCTCTTACCTGATTTGGTGATTCACATAAAATTTACACAACTCAATGGAATATTATGCATGCAAAACACACCATCATCATTTGCCATATGGAATCTTTTGTACATTAAATTCATGTAAAATCCATCGAATAGTTATTTCTGTTATCAAAGCATTAAAAAGCTACCGTTTTGAGAAATTGCACCAGTTGGAGCTAATTTGAATATGAATGTAATTCAGCAATAGTAATTTTTTTGCTGAGGAGAGCATTCACATTACAGAATTCGACTACAGTCATCTGAGCTCCAAAACATGACAAATAAAACACTTAATACTACATACTCTTCTCACCAGCTGGAACACTGAAGAAGACACTTGTCTGTAGGAACAACCGATAAATCAATGAACCCACACATTTTGGACCCAATCAAATTGGTTACTGCACAATTACCAGAATGAACAGTAAGACAAGTCTAAAAGTGAAAAAAATAGGCAAAAAGTGATGCAGAAAAGAATAAGTACGGTTTGTTTTCTCATCTCATTTAACAAGACTAGTTACTAGTGGAATTTCTGTGGTTACAATTCGCAATTCCCACCATGTTGACCATGTTTAGTTTACTCAATTTATGTTCTGTTCGATGAGACTACAACCACCAGCAGTTTGGAATCATTGTTGGTTGGAAAGCTAAAAAAAGCCTTCATCTAATATAGCATAAATTTCAACCCTAAGAGATATAATTGCCAACTTATCTTCTGTAAAACATGATACAGATTTACCGTTGTTCCGAAAGGTTCGCCTTGAAGGCAAGGGATTCTCCTCAGAGCAGCATATATGAACTTCGCTGTGAAGTTTTTGTGCTCCTCCGTTGAGGAACACTGCTCATGCTTGCCGAAGTCTTAGGCCTTGCTTTCGTACATCAAGAGCCGACAACTCACAAGCCAACCTTACTGCAAGGAATGCAAGCATCCACATCTGTGGCAAGTAACGCACACAAACACCAAACAAGATATCATCAAGGAGGGCAAAAGATTGTAGCCAGCCCTTGTTGAACTGAAAACTCTACTGGAGTTCCATAAATCATGGGATCACTGCTTCTATCACCCACTGTATCTCTGCCTCGCGCAATGACTTCACCATCTAAGTCGATGTAACCCCCTTGAACATCACTCCCATAGCGACCAGCAGGGTCGAGTCGAAATGCCTTCACCTGTTGCACCAATCGTTAAGTTAATCTCCATCACTCCCAAGAGAAAAAGGTAGGTGCAACAGAAGGAACAAATTCATATTCATACGAAAAAATTCACTTTCCATAGAAATGATTACTGCTATTGCAGCTCGGAATGACTTCTATGATAGAAATGATAAATCAGCAAAGCAAGCACATTTACATGTGAGATCATGGGTACCTTGATGTACTCCACATATTTAGATTTGATGTGTTCCCCAGTTTGTATTTTAAGTAGTATACTTAATAACGCCCACTTAGGACAATCCTTCATGATAATAAGGTCCAAATATCCATCTGAGAACTGCAATCGTTGGTAACAACAGGATTAATTCCTTCGACTTTTGCCAAAACTCAAGCTGTGAGATATTGCGGCAGATGAGCGAGGAAATGGATGATCACATCTAAATTAACAAGCGACTAAACTAAGGAACTTATGACAACATTGATTAAAAGAAGAGCTGGACACGTTCCTCCCACGCTAGCAGATAAAAAATCCTACGACAATCGAAGGTAATGAAAGTCTCTTTGACGAAAGAAGAGATGATAAGGTAATGACTGGGTACCTTGGCATGCGGGGCCGCGTTAACAGTCTCGCCGACAAATGGCACGTTGTTAAGCCAAACATTGATAAAGGGGCCCTCCATGTCACGCCATTGAGCAGAGTTCGTATGTAAAGGTCCGGAATACCCATTTTTCCGCCAGCTTCTGTCACTATCAGCTTCACCAACATTCAGCAAGGTAGCCTCTTCAAGCTCCCCAGCAAACAGGGTCCCTGTGCCTTCATATCCTGGCGCTGGAATATAGTAAATGCGTCCGACATACTTTCGAAGATTGATGATTCTCATCAACGACTGTCTCAAACCAACAACGGGCAACATTGGTGTAAGATTAAAAGAATGATTGAGATCACGACAGAATCAGGCCAAATTTGTCAAGATCGGTTGCTTTAACTTCTAAGAATTAATGCTCTAGAAGAAAAGCGTGTGAAAAAACAATTTTGAACGCATTCGAAAGGAGAAGATGCGACAGTAAGAAGCTAAACAGAACAACAAGATGCTGAAATCACCGACATAAACGACGATACGCAAGGCACCCATCCATCTCAAACTTTCCGATTCGAAGTCCACATCTGCGACAAGTCCTGCCACAGCCACAGTCGAAGGAGGTTATCAACTACATATTGCGGTAAAAAGATAAATGTCAGGCTGCTGCATCATGCCCACACGAGGTACGATGACGAAGAATAAACTCTAATGACAAGTTCAAAAAGAAGGCCTCGGAGATTCGACATTACAAACAATGTGCTGCACAAAGAGTATCATGATAAGGAAGGAGGTGAGTACAAAAGCGGAAAAAAAAAAAAAAAAAAAAAAAAAAACTTTGCTCAGCCTTTCAGAAACATGACTGCCACGTAGTTACAAATGTCCAGCAGGTTAAGAAAGGCACCCCAAGCCATCATCAAGATGCTATGAAATTTGACATTTCCTTGTTTTGCGGTAGCAACATCAAGCCGCTGCTTCTGCCCTGCAATGCACTTCGATCGCCCAGTCATTAACCAACTTAACTTATATGTCAAAAGCAAACATAAATTCAGAAAACCATTAGATATAGGAGTAGTGGTCAGAGCCGAAGATTGGTTAAGCTCTGAACAACCCTTCCGATGGAGACTGAACACGCATGTACATGAATACTGCTATGTAAAGATTGCTTGTAGACCAATCATGGTTTATATCTGGTGATGGGTAGAACATACTGAGCATTATATCGCATGAGCACCAGTTCCATTGAATTGGGTGGAGATGAATAAAAGAAATCCCATCCATAGGTACTATACAAGGACGAGTTACACATCGCTATGGATTGTAGATCACTCAACTTTTGTACTAATTCTATTAATACATGATAATGATACATTACCTCGGATGACAAGAAATGTAGCACTTGATGGATCACAAGGCTCCCCTACATGGTTTAACAGTGACTTCGCCATGCCGTTGCTGGTCCCTGCTTGCAAAGAAGGGCATTGATAAAAGAAAAGAACTCAAACACGAACTCAAGGAAAACAAAGCCACAAGGAATTACAAAAAATGACGAGCACACATAACAGAACTCAACCAAGGGCTCAGATGCTCAACCTCTAGCCGGACGCTAATGCCCCTGGTGGAGATGCAGTAGCGTCCGGCTATATGTTGAACAGAGGCACTTCCTAGCCCTAGCAGCACTTTGATTTAGAATCATAATTGCCTTTAGAAAAGTTCTTCTGTTGAAACTTTTATAAAAGTCAAATCCACTGCATCTCCACCAGCTTTCAAAGGAGAGTGACTCCAGGCGGTTGCTAGATTTTATTCTTAAAACACAACAAAACAGGGAGATGTTTGCGACAAAGCACCAGCAGGAATGATGCCAAGTGGAATCTTGATAGCACGCTCCCAATCAGATCTTTCCAACAGACCATTCAGAACCTGCACTTCAGACCAGTTCCACACGAATGACTTGAAGGTAGACGGCTATGTCAAGGAGGGAACCAATTTACATTCATGCACTCTTGTTACACTGAAAGAAGGATAATCGTAATCCATGAACGAGCCACTACAATCTTAGGGACGCCATCAAATGTCTTACTCAGCTGTTTACTTGTTAAGGGCAGTATATATGTACGTATACACACAAACACATGACACACTCTGCTAGCAGGTCAAGCGAAATATTCAATGTCAGAGCTAAGCACACCTCAACCAGCACTCCATCTCCGCTGACGCAGACTACTCCATCGAACTGTGAGAGATCAAATGATTTTGCCATCTCTTGAGCATGACGTTGGAACTGCGTTTCTGTTAAGCAATGGAACGACAACTTCAGGACTCCTCCCAAGTTATTGATTAGATGATAACCAACATCTCTCTGGTTTTGCATGACGGGTAGTCTAGCCCACCCTAACTTGTCAGGATCTGCTTACATTGATGTATATTCTCAAGGCAGCTCTTTCATGTCTCGATGAAAGGCAACTTGCCTCACCTGGTCTCAGCTGACAATCAATTCAAGTTGAATTACCTTCTTGTACGTAGCCATTAACAAGTAGCTACACACCATTGACTGAATTGGTGTTCAGTGTAGTATCAAAGTCCTACACTTACCCTGTGCAATGTTACCGTTGGACAGCCATTCTAAGACCATTGAGCAAGGTTAAGCTGTACAAGAGAATCACACCTCGCATTGTGTATGTAATGCCTGCTGCCTTAAATAGAGGCTCCACAACTGACGCATAGACTCTCCTCGCACCCTTTTGTCCTCCAAAAGGATTAACAATTACAAGAAGCCTCTTTGGTCGCCCTGCCAATACCCAACAATTACCGCTTTATAATACACACACAATGTCTTTGTTAATCTATAAGTTTTCCTCACATTCGTGATACAGGTGTAATAGATACATCGCTCCCCGAGAACTTATACCAGTCTCTCACATCGAGTCATACATTACACATAATTAACCTGGTTCTACACAACTCCCACAAGCTAGAGAACATACCCTAAGTTCTTGCTTCGTATCACATCATTTCTTTAATCTCGAGGAGACAACGAAGTCTTGTTCCATAGAATCTCAAATTAGTGACAATACTCCTTTCTGGACCCAGTGGAACTAAGTCACCAGATTCTTAGACAATGTATGCGTAGGGTTCTGGATTAGGGAGAATTTCAACACGCAGTGTTACAAGCAATGAACGAGGCAGTACCAGACTCATTAAGGATTCGCTGAATGGAATCGCAGCAAAGTTTAAGAGTCGCTTCGTTGCTAAACTCCATGACCATATCTTTACGCTTTCGTCCGGGCACACCCTTCCCGCATATCGTTGAGCTTCCCGTCAACTTAAACGTATGCAAACGGATGTTAGATCCAAAGTTACTGATCCCTATTAAGTCATTGGACAGGAACAACTGACCATTCCTGTCCCCGCGCCACTGAAGCAACCCCGACGCGAGTAGTGTAGCCACCACCCGCTTCCCATCTAACACTACCTCCTCGTTGAAAATTTCTTCCATCTCTTGATTCACAAAACCTCCCAACACTAGTCCTTGTCACTCCGATAGAAATCTTTCATATCTCCAACATCTGCAAAAATACCCAATCCATCGCAGTCCTCGACTCAACTCAACATGCGCTAATCTCTCCACCACGGCTTCCCGCGGCCTTAATACACCACGTACCCCTGCTCAAAATTGTTTCCCCTCTGCAGCCCAACCATGTGAGCCTGCCACACTAAAATATTCTTAAAACCCACTCTTACAAGCCACAAATTTATCCCAATTCCGGCAAATCAAACAGAACGATCAAAAAAGGAGCTAATAAAACTCGACTTAAGTGCACAACTACACCAAAACATTCCGTGAATACATCAGGAGACCCAAAACAGCAAATCACTGTAAACATAGATACTGCAAACGGGACAGACCAGAACACGAGCCTACCTACGTGATCGACCGACAACAGAGACTAAGGTCGAATGACGCGCCTTCTTGACAACATTGACCAAGAAATCAAACCCTCGCGAGCATGGGGTTGATGTCCACCCAACTCACAGAAACCCTCTACTGTTGCGACCATCAGAACTAAAGCAAAACTGACAATTTGCGATATCAGAGTGACGATTGCGCACACGACACGATGCTACGAAAGGATTTCAAAGGAGGATGGAGATCGACGCATCGCAGCGACGACTGGGAAGGAAATCGTGCTACGATGGCAGAGTAATCATCCAACAAGCTCTCGAACCTGTCGTAGCTCTTGACTCTCTCAAAGTTCTTCGAATTTCATGTTGCGCGCATGGACCGAAAGGCCTCACAGCATGAAATTCTTTCGGATATCGTTCGAAAGACTTTCAGTGGACACGCACCTGAAATCGAATTGAATTGCGAGGAAATGGAAAGTATATCAGAAGGATCCAAAAAGTGAAAAGTGATGCAAGGCGAGCTTCAGTCGAAAGCGCCAGATTTAGGTCCCCCGGAGCAGATTCTTCCCGCGACCCTGCTCCTAGGACGATTCCGCCACAAAAAAACAAGCCTCGAGTCCAACCCTCCAACGCTGCATTGAAACTCACTCCGAACGACACCAACACACGCGCGCATCCGACGTGGCATGTTCCACCTGGCACCTCGGTCCTACGTGTCGAATTCCACGTGGTACCATGATTCGACGTGGCGAGGAAACTCCACGCTGCGTTCGATCCGATGTGGCGCACCCCACTTCGTATGTGATCGATCGTGGTGTGTTGTTGAGACCAGGGTTTAGGGGAAGGATTTTAAGGCTACAGTAACAAGGTGTATGTTGGATAATGAGAAGGGAAGGGGATTAAATATGATATGCGATAAATACGGTGAGGGTTCACTTAGTTTGCAATATCAACTTAGAAGTTCCAAATTTAATCTGGTAAGTTGGAGCTTAAGAAGGGACTTATGAAATCAATTTTTTGAACACTAGTGAAATTATTTAGTGATCAAAAATTCACTATATTTTAACTATTATAAATGTAAATGTAAATATGATTGGATTTAATTACAAAATTAAAATTAAATTTATTATTATATAATTAGTTTTAAATTTTATGTTTTTTCTTTTTTGGTAATCTGTGATAACTATCAATAATTATTTTTTTAAATAACATATAAAATTTAGAAAGATGCAAAAAAAAATACCAAAATGTTATTAATACATAAAGCTACAGTGAAAATTATGCAGATGGGGGTTTATCGACCCCGTACCTTTCTCATGCTAAGCGAGCGCTCTGCCGTTTGAACTTCATGTCCGAGTACAACCTATAGTCGAGCGCCACTTGTTGCCCTCTGATGTTCACATATTCGCGTCGATAATTTGTGTACTCTCTTAACACTCCGTTATCTTCACCACTGAGCCTCACCCAACTGTTTCATGCTTGCACCCTTGATGTGCGTGTCACGACGGCGCATTTCTTGTATATATGTATATTATACATAATAATTAACTAACTACGACATGTCCCCTCTACCAGACAATGAATCAGTTTTCCTGCAATCTTAGACTATGAACTGTTGAGATTCATTACATTTAAAACATAATTGACACCATGTTTCGAATTAGCGGGAAGGATGCAGTGGCCTGTGGACGTGAAGCTCCAATTTTTCTTACTACTTCGAAATAAGACCGTTGAGGTGAGGCAGCAGTCTGCTGGGAAGGTGACGAGACAGCAAGGACCAGATCGACCAGCACCAACCCAGCATGTCACAACAAGGATTCGAATCGTCGTCAGGTCTACCTAGGATTCTCATTGTTGTTACATATGAGCGGACCCTTAACCCTAAAATGTTCTATATTTGGTTCTGTATTTACAAATTGGATAAACTATACTCAACAACATAATAAGCATACTGGGTCCATAGATTTAACTCACATTTCATAAGATATAGAATATAGACTTCATGAAACAGCCTCGGGTGTCGTATATGTCAAATACAAATAGCTTATTTACCAGTCAGTAATTGACTCGCAAATGAACACAATTGTCGAAGAGAAATCGGGACAACTCCAGGGAAAAATGAGCACATAGGTTTCAATGTATGATACAAGGATGCACATAAACTTTCGCTACTTTCAAGTACAAACTACATGGCTGGACGTAAGAATCTTGATGCAGTCGCGAGCAGCTTCAACCAACACTTTCAGGGGTATTAGATGCTATAGTGGCCTGAGCAGTGGCTACATAACCACTCCGAAGCCTTAAGACAGCCTTAACTGAGGCCCTTAGTACCTTCCAATCACTTTCGCTGCATCCCACAACAAACAAGTGCCAGCACCACGCCTTGCTTCGAAGGCCGACTTCAAAGCCTGAACATGCTGACGTCTTCCAGAGGAAGACTAACTTCTGGGGAGGGACAGCAAAAACCAGGCACACACAACCTGTACTTTTGAGACTCTTACTGGGGTTCTAAAGAACCAAGGGTATACCAGACCACCCAGGACAAGGTGGGCTTCCTAAAGTGGCAACTGACGAGCTATATTTGCCGAAGCCCGCCAGAGCGACTTAAAATTTCTTGTTCTTTCAGATGTCGTTGGAATCTGGCCAATCTCGCTTGCAGATTGACAATGCCAGCAGCTTTTCGAGAGAGTACATAGTTTAATTGAGACACATATCGATCTATCCGGCTGCCAGGTTGGTCCACTTCAGCAAGCAGCTTCATTTCCTGCATGCACATGCAGTTGACCTATAAGAATCCTTTCACAACAAGATTTCTTGATAGCTTAAAGAACGAATTTACATGTTTTACAAAGAAAAAAATATAGCCCATGTCTTCTTAAGGAGAACAGGGGCAGCGACAACACTTGGGGATTCAGAACAAGATCATAGCAAACAGCTCTTTCCTTCTACAGCATTCAATGAGGAACCAAGTCCGCTCATAACGCAACACACGGAAACAAAGCAGTGGATCTAAAACAATCCCCCACAAATTCACTCAACCCCAGCCTGAAAACCTTACTACTCATCAGCTCCACAAGGGGCCTGGAGGTATATGACGTCCACTGAAGTCAACTGGGGCTTAGCGAAGGTCGAACTATGATCTGGTTCATCTCTTTCATGTCATTGCAACTTAAATTCAAGTTCAACTCTATTCCTTCAATCTTACCAGCAGAAGATAAACATCGTAAAAACAAAACTTCGAAGGTAGGACCTACAAAAGGCGAGAGAGTCATACCTCACGGACTATCTCCATGGTATCTTCCACCTCCTTCCGATGGGCTGATATAACCTCGTCTTCTTCCTGTGTCAATCAGCGGCATCGTCATCATTAGTGCACTACGTTACGAACTATCAGCAGATACAAGACTTAGAGTGCGTTGGTGCAGCGATGGTGTGCTACTTCGGCCCTATGCTTGCAATACCTCAACCTGAAGACTATATTCAATAAACTAGATGCTTGTGAGAAATGACTAGACAATCACTCACGCCTGGAATGGTGGTGGTGAGTTACAAAACCCATACCTCGAGGATGGCATTGATATAACCTTCGCGGTTGTACTGTATAGGATTTACTTCTGGTTCTATCCTTGAGTAGGTGAGGGAATTTGGAGTTTGGTCCATATGGCGCTTGGAATTTCCATCAGATTTTATTACGTCATCCCGGTAATTTTCAAAGTAGCGCCTTGGATTTGTATCAGGCTTTGGTACCTCATCCCTAGAATACTCAACTTGACGTCTAGAATTACCTTCAGACTTAGATGTTTCATCCCGATTATATTCAACTGGCCGCCTCAAGTTCCCATCAGGCCGTGATGTCTCGTCCCGGTTATACTCAAATTGACGCCTTAAATTCCCATCAGGCTTTGACATCTCATCCCGATTATACTCAAATTGCCGTCTTGAATTACCATCAGGCTTTGATATTTCATCCCGATTGTATTCAAATTGCCGTCTAGAATTGCCATCCGGCTTTGAAATCTCATCCCGACTATACTCAAATTGCCGTCTTGAATTACTATCAGGCTTGGGCATCTCATCTCGATTATATTGAAATTGACGTCTTAAACTCCCATCAGGCTTTGATCCTTCATCTTTATTGTATTCATATTGGCGCCTTAAGACTCCATCGGGCTTTGATGCTTCTTCCTTGTTGTTTTCGAACGGACGTCTTGAGATTCCATCCGGCTTTAACACTTCATTTCCATTGGAATCAGGCTGACGCCTCAAACTTCCATCAGGCCTTGAAGGCTCCTCGCGATTGTAGTCATAATACCTTTTGGAGTTTCCATCAGGTTTCGATGTCTCGTCACGATTAAATTCAAATTGACGCCTGGAATTTCCATCGGGCTTCGATGGTTCATCACGGCTATAATCAAATTGACGCCTGGAATTTCCTTCGGGCTTCGATAGCTCATCACGAATATAATCAAATTGCCGCCTGGAATTTCCATCGGGCTTCGATGGCTCATCACGACTGTAATCAGCTTGGCGCCTGGAAAGTCCATCACCTCTAGACAACTCATCACGATTTTGCGAACGATCGAACTTTTCTTCCTTGCCAACTTTGCGTCGAACTTCCTGCGCCCGGTCAACTTCTAGTTGGTCGGCCCCATAGGCGTCATTCACACTTAAATCACTTATATCGGGGTAATTTTGTTTATCCCTGTCACTCCCAGCTGGGTTTACCTTACCGAACTCTCTGCCAGAGTAACTGTACTCTATTGATTGGTTGGATAGCTCCCGCTCACCCTGCTGCAAGTATCGGCCAGCATCAACGGGTGGGCGTCTACCATTTTCTGATACCCGACCATCTTGTCCCAATTCAGAAACTTGCGGGGCAACTTGATTTCCAGATAGTAAAGTAGGAGGAGAGGAGTTAGATTCTCTTAGCAGCGAAGTTGCTGAACCAACATCCCTCTTCGAGTTGTTGTTCTTAGACAGACCTTTCACCCTGGCAGAGCCATAGTGTCAGTACGTTTGAACTTTAAAGGTAAACGTTGTCTTCAGAATTCTTATAACTAAGATTAGAATCATTTTCATTTGAATTAGTCTTCTTCACTCTTATAAATTTCTCTACTTCAGTAGCTCTTGAGGCAATACTTCTGTAATGAATCCGTGAGTAATTTGAATTCTCCCAGCGCCCACAAGGCCTTACACGTAGAGCATCTTCAAATTATGAAACTTTGTTACATACTAGTAAAATAATGCATTCTGGAAACTTGGATTGAGAAACCTTTGATGGTAGAACAGAACTTCTGCAATCAAAACAAGAATAACAACTAGAACCTAGAAATCATATTCATTTTGCTTACCTATCCGCATATCTGAGCGTGTTCAGTGTATGCTCACAAGACCCTGCATTTGGGGAAATACATGAGATCATTACTGTGCGTGAATCACCCACGAATGAATCACGAAGGACCTCCGTCAGCTTGCTTCCACGAAAAGGAATATGATTTTGCTCATTGTCAAGGGCTCTGATGCACTCCTTCAAGGCCAGCAAGCTCTTATTGATCTCTGCGCCTTCCATTCTACATCGCCAAGACGGGAAAACACCTTCGAATTAATACAAGTTAAGAATCTAACCATGGATCATATACTCATTAACCCCACCTGAGAGATAGTTCATAGTTCCATGATAGTATCCTATGCAATAATTCTGACAATTGCTCAATGAACTGCGACTTGCAACGACATGTTTCCTGACAAGATTGATGAATCGGACCGGGTATCCCCACACAGCATATACTTTTACTCGTCCACGGTCTAACAAAAAGCAACACCTTTGCCCAAGTCCCTAAATTTGAAGTGGAACAGTTGCTAGGAAGCTGCAAGACAAGAGAAAGCTATACAGTACCACAAAAGCTGCGAGTGCTGACCTTGTCTGGCGGTCATTATCAGTGGTATCAGCACCACGCTCACTGCCAGCAAGATCGATGAACGAAATTTTTCCAACTACTCGACTGATTTCCTTTCCTTCCTTTCCTTCCTGAGCTTTTTTGACAACCAACTGTAAGATGGCGTGAGACCTAGAAGACTCCTCATTAGCACCAGTGGAACCAGTGCTCCGGGATTGATTGCCTTTGTCGATATATTCCTTGACCAACTCTACATCTGATACACGGAACTCCTTCAAACCAACAATGCAGACTTGTTGGCGGCCATCCTCGCGCATGCAAAGCTTCCTGTGAACAAATGCAAAGATTGACGTAACTCTTCAAGGTATGGTAACCATCATCAGGTACTGAAACAGAAAAGATAGTTCATGTTAGCATTATTCCCATGGACACAGAGTTGAACACATTCCAAAAATGATGGTGATTTATCCAGCATAAATCATATTGCAGCAAGGCCGCTAGTGCTGAAAGCAAGATACAATTAAGAACATAAATTGACCTTTAGAACACGCTCATTCCTCATTCTTTAGAGAGAACACCTAAATTTGCGAAATCTTTAGAATCTAAACAAGAAACTCATTTTAAACAACATGCAATTAACTGGGTCCACACATACCTCCTTTCATTGAGGAGATCATAAAGTTTACCACCATATATCTCAAAGAAGCTCAGCCATAATTGGAAGCCCTGATTGCGGTAATTCGGCTGCTGCATGATGGCCATAATGTCTCCACAAGCTCTTAGAGGCAAAGGCTGCATCGTGTACGTCTTTCCACTTCCTACCAACCGCCAGTTGGCATTGGTAAGTGGGTACATAAATGAGTAATTAATTACAAAGAAGAGCGTAACAACATTTCTCCAGCTCAAAAGCAAGTAATAATACAAAACAATCATACATGACCCGAGCTCTCAGATCCAACAGGCAACCTTGTGAGTGGATAAAGCAGTCTATGCCACAACGCATCACAATGTTCCATCCCAGCCTACAATCACTACAACACAAAACTAGAATTGATCTATGCTGTCAGAACACTCCGCATGGCCTTTTCAACAGGTATAACGAACTGATACAAAGCAGTGAATGAGATAAGACTTGATTGATGTAACACCTGTTTGCCCATAAGCAAAGCAAGTTGCCTTAGTGCGATTAAAGATGGTGGGTACTATGGGTTCCACAGTGGAACGATACACCTGCACAACAAAAGCATTGACTCAACACCTAATAATTCTTCTTTTACATGAAATCGAGAGAAAATCATATCTTTTGATCTGTTCGATAGTTACCTCATCGTTGCTGACTTGTTGATCCAAAACAGCATCGAAAACAAATTCATGTCTCTCAGTGTAAGCAGTAAGATCCACCTGTCAAATCACCAAAGGTCGGTAAAGTCATCTATCGTATCATAGGAAACGCAGACTATGTCAATTTTGACTTCACTATTAGAATACTCTTTAATGTCCACAATTGTTCAAGCCGCTTCCATTCAAACCAAATCGGACATGTTTGAGCCCTAACCAAAGAAAAATTACATTGAATTGGAGCGGCACGTACTGACCTTCACTTTTGGCTCGTTCACAGTGAGAGAACTGTCCGTATCGCTAATTGTGACGATGTCTTCCTCCTTCCTCGAGATTTCCTTTTTATTTAACGGCCGTTTGCGGACCTATGATCATAAATTCCAACAGCCTTGAACAAAGAGCACAAACCATCCTGGATGATAGATCACAACTTAAATTGAAACTACTTTACCACACTGTTCATACTGTTAGCCTATAGATGCTTGAAAACTGGTCCACATAAGTTCACTAAATAAATTCAAACCAGAAATGAATTACGCTACACTTTATCTAATCCAGACCAAAAGCAGCAGATTCTACAAAGCTAACTTTCTGGATGGCTTAAGGTTTGAAGATTATAGAGAGAGTAGAGCATACAGAACTTAGTTTCTAAAAAACACTAAACAATGAAAATAAATCGAGAAAAGAGAAGACTTCCTCGATGATCTACAATGTTCAGTTACGCAATGACTACATAGAACCTACCACAACTCTGATTCTTGCAAGGCTACTGCCATTCGCAGTCTTGTCTCTTTCATTCGATACTGATCTCAGTGGACTACTCCCCATCAGTCCTCCTTGCATCCTGCCTTTAAAGCTGGTCGACAGTACATCAGACTCAAACCCTTTCTCAATAACAGGAACAAATGACGGTGACGATTGAAACGAGTCTGGCATAGTAATCTGCAATAAACAAGGTCAGACAACCCCCACCGATTTCAGGACCTGTATATTACTTGAAAAACCTTCTAGATGGCAAAAGCTTAAAATTTCTATTTCAGAACAGCAGGCCACTACATGTATTAAATTCATCTTAGGTTATGAAACCCAAGCAACAAGAAAAGCGATCCATTGAATGTGATTACTTGTATTCGCCAAACTCTACACAAGACTCAAGAGATAACCCACTGAAACAACAACACAAAAACACAAATGAATACTTCACATTAGACTGCTTATATCAGATGATGCGAATTCATAACATCACCGTGAACTATTCAGCCAATATACCAACACAAACAATAATAAGAGGAGTAGAGGATCTAAAAGTACCTCAGGGAAAAACTCTGTGTCATCGATGGAATGCAAATCTAATATTCCCGAATTGAAGTCGCCCCTCAGCTCCGGGGACATAAAACCTTCCATCCCGCTTTGACTCGCTGAACGAGAATAAGCAGGAGGAATACAGGGAGTCGAGGGCTCGGAGATTGAACTCTCGCCACTGTTAATTGTCTTAATTAATCTGAACAACTTCTGTTTGTCTTCTAACGATTGTACTCCATATCTGGCATAATCCTGCTTCACATATTCAATTAAAAGAATTAACATCGAAAGGCTAGCAATTCAATAATTGCACTACAATGTACATTGAACACTACATCACACACGTTTCTTGAAGGAGTAGCAGGCCACGACTATTGAAAACTGAACGTGTCATCCATTACAATATTTACCGACATTCCTAGGGGAACGATAAGAAAAAGTCCCACTTCGTAAAACCCTTATATACCAACATTATAATCCAGCTAACGTATTACTCAAGAAGCCAATGCCACAATCTCAAAAGCCATTACTTAACGGATCGAAACGACTTTCGTATGACATAAATTCGCACAGTTACGCAGGACACTATGAATTAAGTGGAAAAAATCATGACTGCTAGAAGCTGCAGGTATATGGAAGCCGTGCTAAGACTGCCAAGATGGTATACGAGGACATAAGAGTGAAAGAACAATGACGTTAGCTGCACAGTAAGCAATGCTTCACAGGAGGAGATAAGTGCTCTGTTAAAATGCCATATGAACTATTCAATGAATCCGAAACTATCTCAAGAGTTTCGATATTTAAACTCCCTGAAACAATTCCACTGCGGATCGTGAATAAATTTAGATACGTTTCACTTATTGTACATGTAAGGACTGCACTTCTGCTACCTTACAAAATATCGCGGGATGTCTCTCGGCCAGCTTTCTGGAAGTCTTTGAAAAGTTAGCCATGACACCAACTAGAAATTTGGTAGATTGTGCCTAGAGTTATGAGAGAAACCTAAGTTGAAACAAACTGAACAGGTAAAAGCGACTCGCAGACGATTCAGTAAACAGTGCGATCACAACACACGCGAGAGTTGTGTGAAAAAACTGGCTTTTATGGTGTGGACAGAAGCGACACGGTCAATCACCAGGGGGACACATGAAGTTTGAAATAATACCATCACTCTATGGATTGTTTCGGCTTATTTTAAGGGATCCAGATGGAAAACCTAATCTGTAGCCACAATGTCTGAGGTTCAATTCCAATCGGGCAGCGAGAGAATCCTGGGTCTGGTCTGTTCCTGGCCAGTTGTTCGCAACGGCTGGAATAAAACTGGAATGTATCCAATCATTACCTCGCCACCTCACAAGTAGAAAAGCAACAGGACATAATAGGAACTGACGCATTGAGAATGTGGAAGGCACCTGCATAAGCAAAGTGGGAAGTAGCTGGTGATCAACGGCCGCCGCCGACAAAGGAGCTGCCAAATGCTGGAGCCCAGCTGACTGTAACCAGCGGGCCATCACTGCATCTCTATCATCTGATACTCCCACAGTGTGGCTGCTACTGTGATTACGATTCTGTCCCATCTGACCCCCTATGATTTTCGTTAAACTGGCTTGATCTACATAAGTAATCTCACAATGCAGGATCCCAACCCTCAAGTGCTAATTGTAGTAACTGACTCTACCTGCACTGATTCCACGACCCTACAGGCATTTCTAAGAGACGATGCAATCCTGCACTAAAGTTAGCCTATGATGTCTGCACTAAATCGAGCGAAACGAGATTCTAGGGATGGAGAAACCGGCAATAACACGGATGGACAGTGCAACATTCTACGACCCCATGCTCCCGGTTGATACAGATAGCTCACGTGCCAACCCCATTTCTCTAGAACACGTAGAAAGACGCGTAGTCTCAGGATCTTAACTGGCAGTCCAACTTCACCCAACGATCTCTCACCAACCGAAAGACGACTGCGAGTAGCCTCATGAACGCTACGTGTAGGTCACACCTGAAATTCGAGAAATCACAAATTCGCGAACAGGACCGATTGAAGATAATTACATAGTCCGATCTTCGAACAGCGAAGTCCGAGATTGCAATGCTGGAGAAAACTCGAAGCCACCAAATCCAGAGAGCAGATACTCCAAGGTTCAGAAAACCTAGAAAATCCGATCAACGCCAATGTCAACGACTAGCGGACATAATGACTCACGCTGTCCTAGCCAGCAAATCTGAAGCGAGGGCACACAAACTAGCACACCAATGAAAACAAACACAAAAAATAATGGTAAAAGAAACCATGCCAAAAGCTACGAGATTCGCCCCCTGAGAACCTTCAATTTTTTTAAATGACATCGAAGGGAAAACACTAAAAACCTCCTAACACGAGGAAATGCAACATAGCACTGCCACGCTTTCCTAAGGAACCCCGCACGCACATCCTCGCATGAACACCAACGATGGAAGCCTCAGAGGAGGAACACCAAACCAGAGCACATTCCAATCCATACTCCGCTCAACCACGCATACACACACACACACAGACAGACAGACACAGAGAGAGAGAGAGAGAGAGAGAGAGAGAGAGAGATCAAAGGCCTCGAAACATCTCCAGAAAAAGAAGAAGAAAAAAAAAACAATCTGGAAAACGGCATCACAACAGGAGGCTGTTAACCACGAGGAGAGCGAAACAAAGCAGTGGCACCTGCGATTGTTAGATTCGTAGACCAGGGCGCGGGGAGTGATGGAAAAATGCTGTGGTCTTGACGATCACGAAGGCCCCTGAGTGTCGAAGAGGAGGAGGGAGGAAGGAGGAAGCTAGAAGAGGCCGCAGCAGCAGCACAGGGGCAGCAGCACACCACGCCACGCCATTGAAAGGGGGACGGAACACGACGACGACGACGACGATCATGGCCGCGCGGCCGGGTGCTCGCCCCGGCCCAGCCTCCTCCTCCTCCTCATACCCCCCAACCGAGTGGCCCGGGCGGTCGCAAAGCCAGCCGGGTCGTGAGGACCCCTGGCAGGGAAACGGGGCCGAGGGCTCTCGCTATGATACCGAGCGTGAACTGCGCCGTTTGCACCGTGGTTTGCTTCCTCGGCGTGATGCCGGCTGGCCGTTCTGGATTTTTGAATTTTCGCTCTCGCTCCATTCCCAGCCAAAATTCAAACCCCGGATTTCCATCAATTAGGCCTCGAATGAATCTACCACAACTGGGGCTCGGATTTAGTGGGGGGGGGGGAGAATATCATTCCATTCCAAAAACTGATTGAGAGGTCAGTTCCATGTGGTCACACATCACTCGATTTGCAGCACTGAAAAGATAATTCGTCTCCCCTCACACAAACAGCAACAAATCACCTTTTCTTTCTTCCTTTTTTTTTTTTTTTTTTTTTTCCTTTACCCTCAAAGATGTAATTAAACAGGCTCATTGCTGTACATAAATAAATGGGGTCTCTAATCCTCTATACATCTCACAGTGTGCATTCCACATTCTCTCTTCCATAGTTAAACTATATAACTATGCCAAAAAGAGCTGTTGGGAAAAGAAGGGTGTTGTCGTTGTTGTTGTCCATTTGAAGTTTGTGCCTGATGGGCATGATATTTTGGACTTTGTCAAAAGGATTTGCTGGCAGAGGCTACCCACCACTGCTCCTCTTTACTTTGAATGCTTCCTTGAAAGCGGGACACCAAAATCCAAAAAACTTGCCTGTTGGCATTTGATGAAACAAGTGCTGGGCTCCAGATTGTTACTACTGGGGCCGGTGTCTAGAGGAAGGAGGGGCTTTGGCTGCCCCCTTTCGAAGTCACCACCTCCACCACCTCCACCACTGCTATCACCACTTTGGTAGGCCTTCTTTTAGCATTGAGTCCCTGGGTTTTAGGGTTACATTAAGTGGTTTTGTTTATGACACAGTGCTGGTGCAGAGAGAAGGGGGGGGAGCATGACTGCCCTCTCCCTCTGAACTTATCAGGATTTTGCATTCTGAGTGCCATGCACAAAATGGAGTACAGACTGAGAAAGTCCCAGGCCTTTGGTTCCAGTCATACCCCTGGAAGTGACTCTGGAATGAGTATGGTCATCCAGGACATTTCTCAACAAAGGGCACTGCATGAGAGAGAGAGAGAGAGAAAAGCTATTGCTGAGTGCCAAAATCATGTTTATTAAAAGTGAGGTCCAAAAGTAATGCAACTTAATACCACCATTGTGCATGGCAGCCTAACACTTGCAGATCGAATGTTTTTGGCTGATGGTTGTTGATTGGATATATTATCAATCAGTCATTGATTTGATATCACTTTAAAAACTATGTGCCAATGGTTCACATGTAAAAGAAAAAGAAGAAGAAGAAGAAGAAAAAAAAATCAATCCCACAACTTACACTGCTAGAATTACATACTTTTGTATGTTTATTTATTTATGATTATTTTTTGTTTTTTCTTTGTGGGGGAAGTTGGCACCATACTGAGAACCACTAGAGGACTGGTGTTGAAAGGGCCCCAAGGCAAAGATAATGGAGGTGAGAATATTCAAAGACATGAGATGTGATGCACCCAATTTTGATTTATTGATAGAATTCTTTCTCCTTTATCTTTTTTATTTTTTATTTTTTTTCGCTGCAGGGCTGGCAACATGAGCTGAAGCCTGCCACAGGTCTTCTGTAGTAGCACAAAGTCCATGGTAAGGGGACTTGGACTGGACAGGACTGGACTGGACTGGACTGCCCCACCTGCCACTCAGTAAAAAATGATCATGGAAGTAAAGGGCAAAGCAATCACCACCACCCCCTTCCCTCTTCAAAAAGCAAAAGGCAAATCAAGCAGGGAGAAGATGCACCAGGGCCAGTAGGAAGGAAAAGTGTGATAGGGACTCTCTCTCTCTCTCTCTCTCTCTCTCACTCGGGAGTGAAGTGAAAATCATATGTGTGTCCGTTGATGTGGGCTTGACACCAAAATCATTGGGCTCCTCCTCCTCCTCTGTGGGCACTGTTGGGAACACTTCTCATCTCCACTCCTTCCTTCCATGGGAACAAACAAATAAACAAACAAACAAACTGGGTACAACCCACAAAACCCCCTTCCCTTCACTACCCATATGAATGAATGAATGTATGTGTTCCACCCAGCCTGGCCAAGGAAGGAAGGAAGGGTGTTCAACCCTATCCCCCCCCCCACAGTCCCACCCACCCACCACCCCTTCGTCTCCCTCCCCCCATCTCCTGGTTTGTAGAGGACTCCAAGCCAGACAAAAGGGGGGGGGGGGGTGAGAGGGGCTCCACTTTCACACATTCATTCAATCTCAGAATTTTTTTTTGAATGAATGCACTCCTTGGAAAGGGGGAGGGCCAGAATGGCAGCATCCCATTGGGTTACAGAAGAAGCTGCTGCTGCTTCCCAACCCCCACCCCCCTTCCCAAGGACCAAACTTTGTAAGGCTTGCCTATGTGTGTCTGTGCCTCCTTTTCACTGGGTTTTAGAGCCAGTGGCATTTTGGTTTTTATGGGTCTGGTGATGAGATTTCAAGAGGCTTTAATTGTTGAGCATCTTGAGGAATTGGTATTTCGGAACTATGAGGGTCAACCTTTGCATTTTGCAGGTTATGATTCACAAACACAAACATGCATATATATATATATATATAACATATGTGTGTGAATATATATATATATATATATATACACGGACATTAGAAAGTATGGAAGAGGTTGTTGCAAGGAGGATTTTTATGAATGCTTACTCCACTTAAAAACAAACTGAAGGCTTTTTCTGAAAGGCTTTGGTGGTGAGTTGGGAATGCAAGTTATATATTGCTAAGGTATGGATCACATTTACCAGTACAACTGGATTTCTTTTAGTCTAGATTGAAAGCCATTTGAATCTAAATTTTTAATGTTTATTCTATGGTGGCTCTTCTTTGATTTTAAAAGCTACAAGTAACTGGAAAACAATCCATTATAATAACAACAGTAATGATAATTAAATGAATTTAAAAATATATATAAATATACGTTTTTCATAGTTGGTCTTTTTTCAGATTTGGTTCTCAAAATTAAAATATAATATAACATTTATCAAATCACACTTATGGGAAAGAAATTGCCCTTTGATGCCAAGTTGTCAAATATCTCCGAACTGTTATACTTGTTTGAAATATAATAGTTAAATGAATTATTGTTTGGAGATTGTAACTACATACAAAACTAATTGTGTCTTCATTTTCATTTAAAGGAAAATCATCTGATGATCTTGTGATTCTACTTCAAAAGAAATTTAAATTTAACATCAAAAGTATTCTTTCACAATAAATGCTTTGAGAACTGTGCAATTTGAAGAAAAAATAAAAGGTAAGATTGGAAACTTCAATGCTGTATACTTCAAAGAAAATTAGATAAGAACTATATTCCTTGAAGACCAAAAAAAAAAAAAAAAAAAAAAAAAAAACTCTTGCATTTTGATACTTGATTTTTAAAAAATGAAAAAAACACACTGTCAAAAATATATTAAAAATATAATTATTTCAAAATATAAAAAATATATTAAAAATAAAATAATAAAAAAATCAAAGAAAAAGAAAAAGAAAAAGAAAAAATATATAAATATAAATATATATATATATATATATGTAAAATAAAGACTAGAAGAAACCTTCTCATTAGCCAAACATAGATGAACAAGGGAATGGATGGATGGTAGTGCCAAAAATTGCAATGCTCAATGGTAGAAGTTACTACTAGTGTATAGTAAAGATGAATGATTTGATAAAACCACAATACTAGTAATACTCATGTATGTCTATATATATATATATATATATATATTTGTGTTGCAACAGAGTATTGTGGAAGGCACCAAAGTTCTCGCTACTTCTACTACAACTTGCCATCTATTTGACAAATTTGTTTATATTTTTTATTTCAATTAAAAAAAAATCTTAATTAAATGATATAAAAGGTATTGGAAAGAGAAATTTTAATTTATTTAAAAGATATAAAAAATATGTAGAATGTGGTAGATAAGAGATTGTAGAAATAATAATAAAAATAATAGTGGTATTAATAATTATATATATATATATATATATATAGATTTTTAAAGCATAATTTTTTATATATATCTTTTATAAATATTTTACTATAATATATAGTATTTATAATACTTAAAAATAATTCCATTCAATTTTACTACTATTTTAATAAATATTTTTTATTATTTATTATATTAAAAATATTATAGAATGGGTAGGATATTTTTTGTTTTACAATACATAATATGTAGAGTTAAGAGAAGCTAGTAAATTGATAAATGGATAGTTTAGAAGGTAGGAGGAATGATGTAGTCAGAAAAAGTAGTTATCATCAATTGTGTAGTAGTTGGCATTTCGAGGAAAGTATAAGTAGTTTGAAGAAGAAGTAGATGGAGCCATGCTACCTCTTTGTTTCTTTGTTTTCTTTGTAGAAGAAGAGTAATGGATAGTTTATGAATAATGTGAAGTAAAATTTTAGAATGAAAAAAAGATTTGATTTAGATGATGTCCAGAGAGCAATTGAAATTATTGTGTGCTGAATTATAAGTGGAGGATTGGAAAGTTGATAATGGAAGATATTTCTAAAATATAGATATAACTGGAAGAATTATAATGCATTGATTTTTGAGAGTTGAGAGTGTGTCAAGAAGAAGACTGTAGAGTCTAGAATTGTATGAAGTAGATTACTAAAAATGATAGATAGTTTTGGAGAATTCTAGTGATTGGATAGTGAATGTTTTATACAATCTTTTAAGATAGTGCAGTATTACCTATTGTTGTCATAAGTTAGGAGAAGAGAAGAAACAATGAATGTATAATATAAAATTATAGATTGTAATATTTTATTTGATAGAATATAAGAGGCATTGTAGCTTTCTTGGTTATTTTAGTTGATCATGAGACAATTAATTGTGTGACCCTAATGTGAAAA